AGACGCTCTGCACCATGTTGGCTTCCTGCCTCTGCTCTGCCTCTTCCATTCACCCTCCATTTCCCCTCCATCTCCCCTCTCCTCCCCCTCCTCTCAGGTGTGGCGAATAGGCATAATGGGCAACAACGCTCGTCCGGCCAACATAGCACTCGTGCTGCAAGCTCTTAAGGACGCTCTGCACCACGTCGGCTTCCTGCCCCCTCCATTCACCCACCATTTCCCCTCCTTCCCCCCTCCGTTTCCCCCTCCATTCACCCGCCAACCCCCCTTCCATCTCCGCCTTTCCTCCCCTGTCGCCTATCAGGTGTGGCGAATTGGCATAATGGGCAACAACGCTCGTCCGGCCAACATAGCACTCGTGCTGCGAGCTCTTAAAGACGCTCTGCACCACGTCGGCTACCTGCCCCGCCCCACACCTAATGATATAGCTTCCGTTGCTGCTACGTCAATTGCTGCTGGTGCTGCTTCTGCTGCTGCTACATCTCCTGCTGCTGCGCCTGCTTCCAAGCCTGTATCGGCATCAGCTACAGTTGCTGCAACACCTATTGTCGTGCAGTGACCCACTCGCACGTCCTCTCTGCAGTTTCCGCGAAGGTTGGGGCTGGTAACAACCCTGGAGGCCTCTGCGGTGCTCGTGCATGTGTACGTATCGAAACCACTCGCATGTTCTCTACGCATGTACCATGGTGGTTGCGGCTGCACATAACCCTGGAGGCTTCTGAGGTTCATGTAGTAAGGTACTTGTGTCGCTTTGAAGAGTTTGCAAGATTACTGGTAAAGGCTGTACTTGTGTCACTTTTGAGAGTTAAATCTCTAGAGTGAAAGCTGTACGTGCCATCATCACACCCTATCAGTGAAACCCCCTTGCAGCACATGTACCAAATCCCCTTGGAAGAAGGGCAAGCATAAATTAATCGAATAAATCACAATCAATTACAAAAGGGTTGTTGTAACAAGCAGGTTTCTACCGTATCTACAACCTCCTACACCACACCGGCCTGTACGCTAAGCTGTACAATGCACCTACAATCATTACGAGTTATCATGACTTACAACAAGTGGGCTGCTCTCTTCCACCACCTCCACCCGTACGCTACCCTGAACGATCGCCGTGCAAGGCCAGCCGACCAAGTGCAGACTCCCTGCAGCACCCAACAGCCCTTCCACATCCACAACAGAGCCAGCTGCAGAGGTCACCCTGACTCATGTTTCGAAGGGCTGCAGTAAGGAGGCTTTTCGGAAGCTAAGGGTTTTTCATATCTGCGTTTCTTTCACCAGTTTTTACTGTTTGTTCCTTTGCTTAAGCGTCCTCTCTACTACTGCAGCCCTTCGAAACATGAGTCAGGGTGACCAAGTGCAGAGTCCCTGCACCACCCAACAGCCCTTCCACATCCACAACAGAGCCAGCTGCAGAGAAGCAGTGAAACCACCGCCCGCATCATATGGAGTTGTTATGACTCATACCGACAACAAGCGTAGTTTTGAGGCGCCTCAAAACCGGCTGCAGAGAAGCAGGAAATCCACCGCCCGCATCATACGGAGTCACGACTCATACCGGTAACAAGCGGGTTGCTCTCTTCCACCTCCCCAACACACCATTCGTACGCGAACCTGCACAATCGCCGAGCAAGGCCAGGCGACCAACTGCAGGCAGCCCGCAGCACCCAACAGCCATTCAAAATCCACAACAGAACCAGCTGCAGCAGTAAATCCAGCAGCCTCAGAAGCAGAAACAGAGGCTTGGCATTAAGCAGCAGCCACATTCTCCCCTTCCGCACTCCAGGAATGCAGTCAATCGGAGACAGGGCTGAATCGCCCCCCACCCCCTCCAAATGCAGATGTTGCAGTTTGGGCAGTTGCTTGCTGGATAGGTCCAGGAGATTATTCAGGTTGCCAAGGGAGTATAGGGTGAGCGTGTGAAGGGCAGGGAAGGAGAAGTTTTCCGGGAGAGAAGAGATGAGCGGGCAGTAGGAAACTTTTAGTTCGGTGAGGGATACTAGGCCCGGGTGTTGCTCGGTGATATTTGGTGTAGAGTCTAAGAGAGGAATCGATACACAGGCAGAATCAGAGGCAGAGGCAGAAACTAGGTCTGGGTGTTGTTCGGTGGTATTTGCTGCAGAGTCAAAGACAGGGATAGATACACAGGCAGGGGCAGGGGCAGGGGGAGAGAGCGAGGCAGGGGAAACGGCAGAGGCAGAGGCAGAGGCAGAGGCAGAGGCAGAGGCAGAGGCAGAGGAAGAGGCAGAGGCAGAGGCAGAGGCAGAGGCAGAGGCAGAGGCAGAGGCAGAGGCAGAGGCAGAGGCAGAGGCAGCGGCAGAAGCATCGGCACAGGCAGTGGCAGGGGCAGAGGCACCGGCATATAAAACGGAGGAGACCAGAACTGCGGCAGCAAGCAGCATGGCATGATTGAGCCAGGCAGTGGGCACCAGAAAAACTAGCAAAGCCACCACAAAAAGCAGCATCGACAGAACGATTGCGCCAACGTTCTCGCTTCTTGCAGCAGCGAAAGCGAAAAGGGCAGCAGGGACAAGCATCACCGGAGGTCGGATGCCCAGTGCGGTGGAGGCCGGTGCTATGATCTCTTGCACGGTGAGGAGCGGTATGGAGATCAGCAGCATTGCGGCAAAGACTGCAGCAGTGCAGAGTACAGCCGAAATCACCATTTCAACCGGACTGAACGATTCTGACTCTCTTTCGGAGCTGTCAGGGGGGTGTGGAGGGATCAGCGGCTTCAGGGACTCTATAAGGGAGCATAACTCGATATGGAGTGATTCTAAGCGAGTCAGCGTGTACAGTGAGGGAGGAAGCTCCTGTAGCTTCTCGCACCGTGACAGACTCAGCTTTTCCAGGCATGCTGGCAGGCTGCCTTCACAAAATTTCTCGGGCAGATGCTCTAGTGCAGGCAGATCCAGCTCGAGCGTTTTCAACCGGGGTAAATTACCCAGGCTTTCGGGCAGCACCTGGATATTCTCAAGGTCGAGGAGATTTAGGGTTTCCAGATGGGACAAGGCGCCGATGTGGTGTGGGAGGGAGGTCAGGTAGCGGCAGTAGGAGATGGAGAGGGAGGAGAGGGGGAGGAAACAGATGCTTTCTGGGAGAATCTCGAGGGAATCACAGCCGTTGATGGAAATTTGCTGCAGCTGAGTCAGCCCCGCCATGACATTTCCCGGCAAGCATCGCAGACGTTTTGATTGGAGCGAGAGGGTTTTCAGACTGGTCAGCAGTTGAAAGGATTCCGGAATGCTCTCGAGCCCAACCAGATCGATTTCTAGGGTTTCCAGCAGAGCGAAGTCGCCAATCGCGTCAGGAAGATTCGTGACAGTTTCCGACCAGAGGTTACTGATGCTCAGCGTGCGGAGGCTACTCAGAAGGCCCACGCACTCATCGAGACCGCGGAAATTTGCTCCCGCGCTGATCCGCAATTCCCGCAGCTGCTGCAGCGCGCCGATGCTCTCGGGCGGCGAAACGAGCTCCTGTAACGAGTCTTCGCCATAGTGAGTATTCGAGCACACGTGGAGGGTTTGGAGATCCGTTAAGAGCGAGAGGGACGCCGGGAGATGCGGGAGGCCGTTGGTGGTGAGTAGCCGGAGATCCCTGAGCTTGCGACATCCGTGGAAGAGCGACGCGAGGCCGTCTACAGTAACCGACATTTTAAACTGATGCTCCACCGTTAGATGGAGCAGTCGCGGACACGTGGCGGCCAGACGTTGGAAGAGCGCGTCGCCGTCGGCGGATAAGATGGAAAAGCTGCCCAGCGACACGTGCGTGAGGGCGTGGAAGCGGCGGAGCGCGGAAAGGAGGTGCGGAAGCGGAAGCCACGCAAGCTGCGCGTTGCGGAAGTGCTCTGGATTGTGTATCTCCAAGAGAAAGGTCTTAAAGCCGCGATGCTGAACGGTCAAATGGGAGAGCGCGGCCGTGGAAAGGCGGAGCCAGCGCTTGGAAACGAGTGCGTGGCGGAAGGAGGTCTGCGAGAGCGCGCGGAGGACGAGCGCGAGAACGTCATCAGGGAGGCGCTCCAGGGGGAAGGGCGGCTCGGTGCGCGCTGGAGAAATCATGGCTTTTAAGTGGCTAAGTAAAGAAACTAACGCCATTGCGTGAAATACTAAACAAGTGTAAGCAGCTTTGTTGCTACAGGAGTCTGGTCTAGGGTGAAGGAATTTCTGCACTAGAAGTGAATGCTGGGCGTGGAACTTCCTGCGTGTCGAGGTCCAGACTTCGAAAGAAGTTTGTATACGGTACACTTATTTGCTATTTGGCTTCAACAAGATTTAGTACGGTTCGGGGCGTTAACGGCCCCAACAGATGGAGTGCTGGCTGGAATTAGGGGAGATGTCGGAATGGCTCGGCGCGCAGTACATTACCGCGAAGTTGCTGAGGTTGGTGGGGAGAAATAAATATGACGTGGCAGTAAGAAATAATCCAGCGCGGAAGAATCCCCCAACTATCCAGCGCGGCATTTTGAATTCGAGTCAACTCCGTCACCTTCTTCAAGGCAATTGGTTCCAAGCCGAATGTGCTTAAAAATTTCGGGATTCCTTACTGCTCACCTCAGCAACTCTTACAAGACCAACCTTTTCTTCTCCCGTTACTGCTTAACGGCTCTCCACTTGGCCTAGGATTCATGACTAGCCCGAACCTCGCTGCCTGCTTCACACTAGATAGCTTGCACGCACAGAAATAGCAAGCTAACACTCACCGCATTATCGTTGGCTTATTTCGTTATATATGCTCACGCTACCGTTTGCCAACGCATGCCCATCAGAACTGCTGGCGCTTATTATAGGCATGCGCTTATACCGGGGAGGAGACGGTATTAGTGGAACCCATACAGTATGTGCATTTGTACCCATGAGAGTTTTGATGTGCATGCAATTGTGCGTTTGGATGATTGAATAGCACATGCATGCAGGTGTGCGTTTGGGTTCATGTGCAAGCAGGTTCCTATCTACAAACTCCTACACCACATCTGTCTGTACTTTAATCTGTACAATGCACAATCCTCACAAGTGATCACGACTCCCAACAAGCGGGCTGTTCTCTTCCATCTCCCGGACACACCACCCGTATGCTAACACGCACGATTGCCGAGCTAAGCCAACCGTCCAAGTGCAGGCACCCTGCAGCACAGAACAGCCATTATTCATTGACAGCAGAGCCAGCTGCAGCAGTGAATCCAACAGCCTCAGAAGCAGAAAAAGAGGCTTGTCATGCAGCAGCAGCCACATTCTCCCCGCCCGCACACCAGGAAGACATTCAACCGGAGACAAGGCTGAGTCGCCCCCCACCCCCTCCAAATCCAGATGTTGCAGTTTGGGCAGGTCCTTGCCTGATAAGTCCAAGAGATTATTCACGTTGCCCAGGGAGTGTAGGGTGAGCGTGTGAAGGGCAGGGAAGGAGAAGTTTTCTGGGAGGGAAGAGATGAGCGGGCAGTGGGAAACTTCTAGTTCGGTGAGGGATACTAGGCCCGGGTGTTGTTCGGTGATTTCTGTTGTAGAATTGAAGAGAGGGATAGATACAGAGGCAGAGGCAGAGGCAGAGGTAGAGGCAGAGGCAGAGGTAGAGGCAGGGGCAGAGGCAGGGCTTGGGGCAGGGGCAGAGGGCCTGGACTCACCTCCAGACTCACAGTGCATTATTTCAGCCAGGGTGAGGGACCCCGACTCACTTCCAGACTCACTTCCGGATCCTCCAGGGAAGGTTGGTGGGGTCAGCGGCTTCAGAGACTCTATAAGGGAGCATGACTCGATATGGAGTGATTTTAAGCGAGTCAGCGTGTACAGTGAGGGAGGAAGCTCCAGTAGCTTCTCGCACCGCGACAAAGTCAGTTTTTCCAGGCATGCCGGCAGGCTGCCTTCACAAAAACTTTCGGGCAGATGCTCCAGCACGCGTAGATCCAGCTCGAGCGTTTTTAACCTGGGTAAATTACCCAGGCTTTTGGGCAATGCCCGGATATCAACAAGGTCGAGGAGCTTTAGGGTTTGCAGGTGGGACAAGGCACCTATGTGGAGTGGGAGTGCGGTGAGGGAGTAGCAGTGGATGATGGAGAGGGAGGAGAGGGGGAGGAAGCAGATGCTTTCTGGGAGAATCTCGAGGGAAGCACAGTGGTAGAGGGAAAGATGCTGCAGCTGAGTCATTGTGGCCATAACATTTTCGGGCAGGCATAGCAGACTCTCGCATCTGAGAGAGAGGGTTTTCAACCCGGTCAGCAGTTGCAAGGATTCCGGGATGCTCTCTAGACCATCCACTTTAATTTTTAGGGTTTCCAGCAGAGATAATTCGCCAATCGCGTCAGGAAGCTCCGTGATAGTTTCCGGAAAGAGTTCACTGCTAGTAATGCTCAGCGTGCGAAGGGTACCACGCAAAAGGCCCACGCTCTGATCGAGTCCGAGACCGCGGAAACACAGTCCCACGCCGATCCCCAACTCGCGCAGCTGCTGCAGCGCGCCGATGCTCTCGGGCGGCGAAACGAGCTCCTGTAACGAGTCGTGGCCATAGCGAGTATGCGAGCACACGTGGAGGGTTTGGAGATCTGTGAGGAGCGAGAGGGACGCCGGGAGATGCGGGAGGTCGTTGGTGGTGAATAGCCGGAGTTCCCTTAGCTTGCGGCATCCATGGAAGAGCGACGCGAGGCCGTCTACTGTAACCGACATTTTAAACTGATGCTCCACCGTTAGATGGAGCAGTCGCGGACACGTGGCGGCCAGACATTGGAAGAGCGCGTCGCCGTCGGCGGATAAGATGGAAAAGCTGCCCAGCGACACGTGCGTGAGGGCGGGGAAGCGGCGGAGCGCGGAAAGAAGGTGCGGAAACGGAAGCCACGCAAGCTCCGCGTTGCGGTCGACCTCAAAGGGATGTGTCTCAAATATAGAATCATCATTCGATTTAAACCCGCGATGCTGAACGGTCAAGTGGGAGAGCGCGGACGCGGAAAGGCGGAGCCAGCGCTTGGAAACGAGCGCGTGGCGGAAGGAGGTCTGCGAGAACGAGCGGAGGACGAGCGCGAGCATGTCGTCGGGAAGGCGCTCCAGGGGGAAAGGCGGCTCAGAGCGCGCGTCTGAAACCATGGCTTTAAGGCGGCTAACGAAAGGGAATAACGCCATTGCGTGGATAATTGAAGAGGGCGAAAATACCAGAGCGCGAGCAGGTCAGGTGCTCCAGTCTAAACTGAACACTATAAGTGTTATCGATAAAATCGTCTGTACGGGAAATATGGTATGGACTAGGAATGAAAAAAAATGTCAATAAGGTGGAGGTTTAAAGGTTTAAAGGTTTTATTAGGTCGTGACCCGTTACAAACGTGCAGCTAGAAGAGGATACAAGCAAATGCCCAGTTCCCCAAAGGGAGCACGTGTGAACACGTTATCCACCCACTACTTAGAGCAGAGACGTCCTCGGACGCATATCTAGCTGACACGTGGCGTTTAGAGTTCTGTGTGGTGGTTAAGGTGGGCGAAAGGCATCGTTGAGTAACCAGGTGGCACGAAGTTCTGGGTGAAGGACAGGAGTGTGATGGTCCCGGAACTCGAAGAAGCGGTGTAGCTGTGCCAATTTGACTCTTCGGCTGGCACGTTGTTGTTTTTTCTTGGAACACTTGGAGAAACGCCATTGGAAAATTTTGAAGGAGAGGAGGAAGTATTGGAGGACTTGGTGAAGGGCGTCGACGGTCCTTGTGGAGACTTGTTTGTATATGTGGCTGCAGCGAGCATTCCAGATGGTCTTGGCAGCCGCCCCAACCAGCAGGCTCCACGGGGCGACCTGTCCTGCTTCTGATGAGAGTGGAAAAAGGGTCAGTTCTGGAGCGGTCGCAATTCCCAGATGAATTCGTGCTGTCCGTTGCAGCGCCTCTGTGATGGGCTTAGCAATCCCGCATTCGAAGAGCAGATGCGGCAGCGATTCGACCACACCAGAGTTGCACCCCGAGCACACCCCCTTGTCCCTGGCGAAGCTGAATCTGGAGTCGGATGGGAGAGCGAGTGTGTATAAGTGAAAAAGTACGTCTCGCTGCGACGAAGGTTGTTCCGAGAGAAACGCATGAGTGTAGTCTGGTTGGAAGGAGGGGCCGGGTGATGGTAGCATGTTCACCCATCTGTGTTGATGTGAGAGGTCTTGGCGGGCGTAGTTGAGTTCCCTGATGTCAGCTAGCAATGGAAATCCTTCGTTGAGTATCGGTAGACGGGCCGCCAAGCCGGCGCCTGAGCAGAAAGTTCCTCCGAGCCATTGGTCTCGAACAAGGATGGGCACAGTGTCTTGTATAGTGAGAAGCCGTCTGGCGGATGATTCCTTGGCTATTCGTCCTGAAGGGCCGACATAAAAAACGTTAGCGAAGAAGGCATCAGTGGTCGAGAAAGTGTCAATTTCGAAAGCCCAGCGTGGCGGAGCATTCATCTCCGAGGCTAGTAGCACCCAGTCTCCTGTGTTGAGGGGTTCGAGGCTGTGGGAAGAAGATAGGGCCGCCCACCACTCGGGGGGCATGGCATCATAGATTGCTTTGATAATGTTGCGACTGCGGGGGTATTGTTTGGGGGGGTATTTCGCCTTGATTTCGCCTTCCGTGAGATGCCGAGCTCCTCGCGAATCCCTGCAGACTAGATGGCCAATGCGCACCTCCTCGGAGAGAAGGAATGTTTCCTCCTTTATTCGTCCGAAGGGGCGGTTATCTTCTTTTAAGATGAATTTGTTGAAGGGAGCGGGTTCAGCGAGGATACACCAAAATTCAAGTCGGGGGGATGAGGTTTCCAAGGAGAGCTCCGCAAGACACTTCACTTCCTCACGGAAACGACAGGGGACGGAGGGAGGGAGGGAGACAAAGTCAGAGTGAAGGAGAAAACCATGTAATCCGAAAGGAATAGGAACGCATGTCCCTGCGACAGACGCCCCGGGGTTCGGCATGAAGCGGCGTAGAGCCCGCTGCACATTAAGCGCTTTAATTTGTACGGTCGGCCGTATTGCACCAAGCCCTCCATGTTTGACCTTATTGTAGATGACATTATGGGTGAGAAGGCGAGTTGTACGTCCCTCTAAGCGGAATTTAGAGGAGGACAGAAAGTTGCCGACCACTGCATGCCTTTGGGGGAGGTGGGGGGTTGGAAACGACCTGGGAAGGAGAGGACTGAGTTCAGGTGTTCAGAAGCCAGGCGTTTGCAGCATGAGACAGAGGCATGCAGGTTGGCAAGGAGGTTGGAGGTGCGTTTGATTTTGTTTAGAGCATGATCCCAGGTGACTTCCGTCAGGCCGGACATTCCCACAAATATGCCCAGAATCCGCTCGAAGTCGGTCGTTTGGCGGACTGGAATGTCACCTGCATGTGTGATGGAAGACGGGGGAAGGTTAAAAGGAATGAGGGAGCATTTACTCCAATTGGGATATTCCCCTGAGACAGCAGCGAAAGAAAGAAGGGTGTGTGAGGCAATTTTTAACTCCTCGTCCGAGTTCAGGAAGATGGTGATGTCATCGGCATAACAGGCCATCAACCGGCTCTGCGTACGAGAGACAGAGAAGCTAGGAAGAAAACATGAAGCATATCGATGAAAGATTTCGATGACACAAAGAAAAAGGAGCGGCGCTAGAGGGCATCCTTGTCTGACCCCGGAGCAGACGGGGATGGAGGGGCCACAGAGATTATTCACTGAGATGCGTGTGGAAGTGTCTGTGTGCATGAGTTTGACCCAGTGGATGAATTGGTGGGGCAGTCCCAAGTGCGTGAGACAGGAGTATAGGAAGTCCCGATCAACCATGTCATACGCTTTCCGGATGTCCACCGTTAGGGCGAGTAGGGGGATGGATTGGGTGGTTGCCCAATCAAAAATGTCCAAGGTGTCGTTCAGTGTGTCCCCGATCTTGCGGGTCTTGATGAAGGCGGTCTGCGAATGATTAATGAGAGAGGGGAGAAGGGGTTGAAGCCTATTAGCGAGGCATATGGCGAGAATTTTGTAGTCGGTATTCATCAAGGTAATTGGGCGGAGATTATCCACCCTCGTTGAATCTCCCTTTTTTGGTATAAGCACCGTCCGTCCTTGTAACATAGAGTGAGGAAGTCCCTGGTGGGCGCCGAGTAAGAGGGCGTGAATGGCGGGGGTGAATTGAGGGCGGAAATTTCTGAAAAGTTCCCCGGGCAGGCCATCGGGACCTGGCGTCTTTCCTTTGGGGAGGGACGAAATGGCACGGGAAATCTCAGTGAGTGAGAAAGGAAGAGCAAGCTTGGAATGTAGGGGTGGGGGTAACTGTGAGGGCGCGACTAGGGACCAGAAGGAGGGGTCAACTGAGACTGGTTGGGATCCGTCATAAAGTTTCTGGAAAAACGCAGTGCAGATTCTGTTCATGGCGGGGAGCTCTGAGGTGACTTCGCCGGAGGGGGAGTGCAGAGAGGTGATCAGGGAGGCTTTAATCCTAGAGTTTACTCTGACCAGCAGAGATGATACGACCATTTCGCGGGGACCTTCGACCTTTAGCTTAGCCTTCATGGCAAGCTCAGCCGACCGCCCTGCTTCGTATCTTTCGAATTGCAGCGTGGCGTTGCGGAGTTGTTCCTTGGCCACAGAGTCCGACGGGTTAATTGCCATGTGAATCCGGAGTTGACAGGTGAGGATGGAGAGGTGAGCAATGGTTTTCTTAATGCGGATTTTTTCCTGGCCGGCAAAAGACTTGAGCTTGTTGCAGAGGTCGAGTTTCCATCGATCCCATTGTTCGCCCGAAGGGGACGGGGGGAGATTTCTACAAGCTGAGTCCACCATCTGCGCCAAATGCGGACGTTTGAGCAGGCCGTGGGGAAGACGCCATGGGCGTGGGGCGATGTTGGGGCTGATGCACCTGATGGTACAGGAGGGAGAGAGCTCGTGGTCAGAAATATCTCGTGAGACCGAGATGTAAGAAGCATCTAGCAGGCGTGACTCAAGAGGTTTGGTGATGTAAATGCGATCCAGTCTAGACGCTGAGGGTGGCGCATCCCCTTGATCACTACGTGGGTAGGCGAAAAAGGAAAACATTGTGGTGGTAGGGTGTAGGAAGCGGAAGGTGTCATTCAGCTGGTGATTAGTAAGAATGGAGGAGAGCATCCTCCCTTCGGAAGCTTCGTGTCCGAGCAGAGGCCTGTTGCGATCCTCTGGGGCACAAACTGTGTTAAAATCACATGCCAAGATGGTCCCAGCGGCTGCGGTGGGGACGTCTAGCGCTGGCGCAAAGATGGCACGCCACCATTGACGTCGAAACGTTGGGGTGGAAGGAGCGTAGGCTGCAATTAGGCGAAATTGTTCTTGGAAGAAATTGACGTGGAGAGAGAGTAAACGTCCATCAGGGGATGGTTCGATAGAGGAGATGCTGATGTTTTTGTTAAAGAGGAGAATCGCAATCCCGCCAGGCTTGGGGTGCGTGGTAAAAGGGGGGGGGCATTGAGCAGAGGAGGAGGGTTTTAGGGTCAGAGTAAGGAGAGAGAAGTTTTGAGTGAGGCGTGTATCGGCAAGCCATCCTCTAAGGTCGTGTATTTTTTGTGGTTTATTAAGTCCATTGACATTAAGACATCTAATGGTGAGTGGGATCAACATTTTATCATTATCAAAGGCCCCCACATGCCGTAGCATGTGCATCCACAGGGCGGAAAGGAGTATTTCAGAAAATGGGGGTAGACCGCAGTCAAGGTGCCCCACCAGCCATATAGATTCCATTGCAGAGTACATATCGTCAGGGCATAGCAAGTGGATAAGCGTAGTAGCACAGGAGCTAGCTGGGGGGAAACAGTAAGGCCATCAAGGCCCAGGCCCAAGGCCAGAGCACCTACTGCAGGAAAGCAGCGATGCGGGGGTGCTGCAGCAAGGTAGCAGCCTTCCAAGCCCCATATTTGTCTTTTACCGCCGGCAGATGCGCATTCTCCTGCATGTGGTTGCGGTGTGAGTCGGAGTTGAGATGATACATTGCGCTGTCCAAGGCCAAGCCGCATTCGAAATCGCATAACGAACAGGTCCAGACCTCCACGTCCAGATCCACTCCAATCAGCAGCAGCCCCGGGTCCTTCTTGAAAGCCGCGGGGGCGGCCTGCTGACCAATGATACGGCCTGATAGGAAAGGCAGGGGGAAGTCGGGCATATCCAGAGAGGAGAAGGGGAGAGGGGCAGGCCAGGAGACCGGCATGATAGGCAAGGACAAAACAGGCGGCGCGACTCGCCCGCCAAACAGGAAGGGAAAGAATCCGGCGCAGGCGAGGGAATAGTACTGTGAAAAGATAGCAAAAACCAGTAAGAAAGGTAGCCAAGTATGTGAGCAACAGAAACCACGGGGGGAAGCAGGGGGTACCGTTCACAGTCTGAAGCTGAGCCACTGAGATTGTGTGCCTGTTGGGAAGGCGGGCGCGGCGGGTAAGAGCGAAGTAGGCGTGATCGGCCAGACGGTGATTGCTTGAGCAGACGGTGCAGGAGTGGCTCGAGATGTTCATCAGCACGGGTTCCTCCTGGTCAGGAATCCAGAGCACAGCCGGTATGCGTTCAAAGCCGGGATCTCCATCGGCGGCCACAGGGAGGCCGCGCAGCTGGGCGTACGCAGACCCGTCGTAAGGGTCGGTCAGGCGGTGAAACGCGCGGAGATCCGCAAGCCAGGGGAGTCCATTCTCGGTCCGTCCCGCAAGGATCGTTGCGCGCAGGTTCTCAGCCGTGTAGCCGAGGGGGACGTTGCGGAGGACCAGATGGGGGTCACCGCGAGTTCGAGCGGCCGTGAAATCCTGGTTGGCGTCATTGAAAGCGTTGACTTCCATGGAGCGATTGTTAGCAAGGCGTACAGTGATCGGGAACATCCCACGGAAGATACGAGCGTCATTTGCAGTTGGCCAGGAAAAGGAGTGCCTGGAGTAGGTATGACGAGGTAAACACAGCGGCTCACCAGAGGCGGATTCAAACGAGGGCACAGCACCGTTGAAGATTTGGCCGTTGAGCAGGGTCGAGATGCGAGCAAGCACGGCAGCCCGCGCGTCAATAAGGTGGAGGCAAAAGCTGGTGGGGTGGGGTGGGGTGGTTGGGGGGAAGAGTGAAATGACATGGCAGTCAGTAAAGTCAACCACCCGAAAACCTGCCCCGAACCATTGACACCAGTGGTTTGACTTCGAGTCAACCTTGTGACTCTCTACAAGAGCACCCATTTCAAGGAAAAATCAGGTGTTTCTCACTAATACCAGTTATGCTAATCTACGGCACTTCCTGAATAGCAACAAGTAAATGCACCTTCTTGAACATCCTAGTACTCTTTGGGAGGCTTACTGGCCTTACTGCCTGTCCACTTGTGCACAGACTGAAGCGATGGCGACAACCGCAGCAATCTGGCAAGACAAAATATATCATTTCCCCGTAAATCCGTGATATGTAGCAGTATTAAGTCAGCAACAGCAACTACCGTACACTGGCTTTTGATGTGCGACAGACAAAGCTGAATGCAATTACTGTACTTTTCTCCGAAACCTTGAAAATCATAGTGAAAATGAATAGAAAGCCCTGCGCACAATCACTTGCGGGCTACTTTCCCTCCACGTGCCCGCTTCAGTGCAGTAACAGCATCCGCCTGCTTAGACCCCACCACTCCCGCCATCCTCCCCGCCCCACCTCCCCCTCCCCCTCCCCCACCACTCCCCCTGCCAGGCGCCCGGCCTCCTCTCCCCCCATCCCTGCCCCTTCCCCTGCCTCCTCTCCCTCCGGTGCCCCTACCACCCCTCCCCCTCCCTCCCCCACCTCCTCTCTGCTGCTGCTGCCATGCCCCCCCTCTTCCCCCTCCTCTCCCCCCACCACTCCACCCTCCCCTTCCCCCATGCCTGCCCCCTCGTCCCCCACCTCTCTCCCCGCCTCCCTGCGTCCCCCCTGCACCCCACTGCTTCCCCGCTCTAGCTGTTGCCAGGGAAACAAAGGGATTTGCCAGGTGCTGGGTGTTCCCAGGAGTAGTTGCTGCTGCTGACGTGGCAGCAGCAGATGGGGTTGCTCGCAGCTGATTGGCCAGCTCGGTTGTCATACCGGACTGACGTGTGATTGGACAGAGAGGAGGGGGGGGAGAAGTTAGGGTTGATTGACAAGGTTGAAACCAGAAGGCCGAGAGGAGAGGACAACAGCAGAGAGGAGAGGACAACAGCAGAGAGGAGAGGACAACAGCAGAGAGGAGAGGACAACAGCAGAGAGGAGAGGACGACAGCAGAGAGGAGAGGACAACAGCAGAGAGGAGAGGACAACAGCAGAGAGGAGAGGACAACAGCAGAGAGGAGAGGACAACAGCAGAGAGGAGAGGACAACAGCAGAGAGGAGAGGACAACAGCAGAGAGGAGAGGACAACAGCAGAGAGGAGAGGACAACAGCAGAGAGGAGAGGACAACAGCAGAGAGGAGAGGACAACAGCAGAGAGGAGAGGACAACAGCAGAGAGGAGAGGACAACAGCAGAGAGGAGAGGACAACAGCAGAGAGGAGAGGACAACAGCAGAGAGGAGAGGACAACAGCAGAGAGGAGAGGACAACAGCAGAGAGGAGAGGACAACAGCAGAGAGGAGAGGACGAGAGGAAGGATTGGTGATGGGTGGTAGTCCAGTGCACATGGTGCAAGGGTTGTTCAAGGGTGAGAAGTTTCGTCCAAGGGTGGAAAGGTTTGCTCAAGGGTGGAAAGGTTTGCTCAAGGGTGGAAAGGTTTGCTCAAGGGTGGAAAGGTTTGCTCAAGGGTGGAAAGGTTTGCTCAAGGGTGGAAAGGTTTGCTCAAGGGTGGAAAGGTTTGCTCAAGGGTGGAAAGGTTTGCTCAAGGGTGGAAAGGTTTGCTCAAGGGTGGAAAGGTTTGCTCAAGGGTGGAAAGGTTTGCTCAAGGGTGGAAAGGTTTGCTCAAGGGTGGAAAGGTTTGCTCAAGGATGGAAAGGTTTGCTCAAGGGTGGAAAGGTTTGCTCAAGGGTGGAAAGGTTTGCTCAAGGGTGGAAAGGTTTGCTCAAGGGTGGAAAGGTTTGCTCAAGGGTGGAAAGGTTTGCTCAAGGGTGGAAAGGTTTGCTCAAGGGTGGAAAGGTTTGCTCAAGGGTGGAAAGGTTTGCTCAAGGGTGGAAAGGTTTGCTCAAGGATGGAAAGGTTTGCTCAAGGGTGGAAAGGTTTGCTCAAGGGTGGAAAGGTTTGCTTAAGGGTGGAAAGTTGGCAAGTGAGAGTGGAAGCATGCAGCAGAGGTGAGTGGGTCACCGTACAGGCATGAAAGTTCAAGAACGGGAAATCGAGTAAGGAGGAAAGGGAAAAGAAGAATGACTTACAGCAGAGATGAGTGAGCGCAGGTTGGTGGGTCTGAGGGGCTGCGATACAGCTTGCTTCAGCGCCTGGTGTAACACAATCAAGGAGGGCAGCACACATGGGAGGGATGCGCGGATGGGAGAGTAGCGGGAAATGGGGGGAGTGGCACCGGAGTGGGTTGAGTTGAGTGAGCGTAGGTTGGTGGGTCTGAGGGGCTGCGAGACAGCTTGCTTCAGCGCCTGGTAACACACTCAAAGTGAGAGGGGCACGACAATTATGGGAAGGATGAGCGAATGGAAGAGGAGAGGGAGAGGAGGGGAGGGGAGTGGAACAGGAGTGGGATGGGTGAGTACAGGTTGGTGGGTTAGAGGGGCCTAGAGACTACTTGCTTCAGCGCCTGGCATGTGGAATGAACAAAGAGCAGGGGGGGCACCAGAGGAGCAGGCAAAGACATTCATTGACAAGGGAAAGAAGAACTGATGTTGCTGTGAGGAATGGTACTGCCATGGGGCTGTAACATGGGGCTGTAACATGGGGCTGTAACATGGGGCTGTAACATGGGGCTGTAACATGGGGCTGTAACATGGGGCTGTAACATGGGGCTGTAGCATGGGGCTGTAGCATGGGGCTGTAGCATGGGGCTGTAGCATGGGGCTGTAGCATGGGGCTGTAGCATGGGGCTGTAACATGGGGCTGTAGCATGGGGCTGTAGCATGGTACTACCAAAGCCGGCCATGGGGTTGGTAGTGTCAGCCAGCCCCTGCCCCTCACCTCTTTCATCCTTTGCAGTTCGATTGTCTCTTGCTTCATCTGCTGCCGCTCATACTCCCCTGTCTCCCCCTAGCAGGGTGACTTCGATTGTCTCCCCCTAGCAGGGTGACTTCGATTGTCTCCCCCTAGCAGGGTGAATTCGATTGTCTCCCCCTAGCAGGGTGAATTCGATTGTCTCCCCCTAGCAGGGTGACTTCGATTGTCTCCCCCTAGCAGGGTGAATTCGATTGTCTCCCCCTAGCAGGGTGACTTCGATTGTCTCCCCCTAGCAGGGTGACTTCGATTGTCTCCCCCTAGCAGGGTGAATTCGATTGTCTCCCCCTAGCAGGGTGAATTCGATTGTCTCCCCCTAGCAGGGTGACTTCGATTGTCTCCCCCTAGCAGGGTGACTTCGATTGTCTCCCCCTAGCAGGGTGACTTCGATTGTCTCCCCCTAGCAGGGTGACTTCGATTGTCTCCCCCTAGCAGGGTGAATTCGATTGTCTCCCCCTAGCAGGGTGAATTCGATTGTCTCCCCCTAGCAGGGTGACTTCGATTGTCTCCCCCTAGCAGGGTGACTTCGATTGTCTCCCCCTAGCAGGGTGAATTCGATTGTCTCCCCCTAGCAGGGTGAATTCGATTGTCTCCCCCTAGCAGGGTGACTTCGATTGTCTCCCCCTAGCAGGGTGACTTCGATTGTCTCCCTGCTAGGGATTCCCTGCCTGCCTCTCCCCCAAGACACCCACAGAACTCACCCTGCCTCACCAGGCAAACAGGTTGAATCCCTACCACCATCCTCCCCTGTCTCTCGTGGCCCTTACCTGCCTCTCCCTAAGGGCACCCACATAACTCACCCTCCTAGATTCTGGGCAAACTGGCTTATCTCGCACCAGCATCCTCCCCAGTCCCTCACCTCTTTCATCCTCTGCAGTTCAATGGTCTCCTGCTTCATCTGCTGCCGCCCATCCTCCCCTGTCTCGCCCGGACCCTCCCACCCGCGCTTCTCCCCTCTCCCCACCAGCCTCCTCACATCCACCCCTCGATCCACATCCCCTTCCTCCTCCTCATCCCCGCCTCGCATCCCCCCGCGCCTCCTCTTGCTCCTCCGCTCCTCCTCCTCCCGCTGCTGTTGCTTCTTGCTCCTCTTCCCTCGCCCTCCCCTCTCCCCCTCGTCGTCACTCTCCCCTCCCGCCTCGTCGAAATCATCAAAATCTTCCTCCTCTCTCTCCTCCTCTCCTCCTCCTTCCCCTTCCTCCTCTTCCTCTTCCCCCCCTTCCTCCAGATTCACTTGCACCGCCTTTGAAGCACGCTGCTTCCAGGAAGTTTCAGCCTTCTCCTTGGAGTGCTTGCGGGAGAGAGTGTCGACACTTAAAGCCAGACTCACGCATTGCTTCAGGTTGGGGAGGTAATTGTGATCAACCGGGAACGTGGGGAGTGGGCCGGTCTGGGGAGGGTGTGGAGGAAGGATTGGGAAAGGCATGGGAAAGAGAGTGAGAGGTTAGAGGGAGATCGTGTCGACAATTAAAGCCCGGCACATGCAAGCTCCGAACGTGGGGAGTGGGGTGTACTGGGAAAGGCAGGAGAGCAAATAGAAAACGAGTGAGAGTCCTGGGAAAGTAAGCAAGGGTTTTGAACTGTTAAAGAGTGTCGACACCTGAGAAAGGAGCGACGAGTCCTTGGGCGTCACCAGAGCCACGGAGCACCACTCTGAAGCAGAGCAGCACCTTGGCAAGGCCACTGAGCCCTCACCTTGTTGAGCTTCCGCAGCAGCGACGAGTATTTGATGGAGTCCTTAGGCGTCACCAGAGCCACGGAGCACCCCTCTGAAGCAGCGCCTCTGGCCGTGCGGCCGCAGCGGTGCACGTAGCCCTCTGCCGTGTGGGGCAGCTGATAGTGCACCACCAGGCGAACCTGAAAGTTGTAAGGAAGAAAGACACGCCAAGGAATCAGCTATGGTATCACTCGTTATCACTCCCTACAATCAGCCAAGGCCAAGAATGGTCTCTGGTATCACTCTCACCAGTCAGCACGAGCACGAGCACGAGGTGGTTGTTTGTGAGTCTCTGGCATCTACTTCCTACTGGAATCCCTAGTTGTTTGTCACCCAGCATTTTAGGAAGTAGATTCCTGGTATCACTCTCACCAGTCAGCACGAGCACGAGCACGAGGTGGTTGTTTGTGAGTCTCTGGCATCTACTTCCTACTGGAATCCCTAGTTGTTTGTCACCCAGCATTTTAGGAAGTAGATTCCTGGTATCACTCTCACCAGTCAGCACGAGCACGAGCACGAGCACGAGGTGGTTGGTTGTGAGTCTCTGGCAGGGAATCTACTTCCTAGAATGCTGGGTGACAAACAACTAGGGAGTAGATTCTTGGAGAAGCAAATAACAGCAGCTCACCTCGGGAACGTCGAGTCCTCTGGCGGCAACATCAGTGGCTACGAGCACGCCGCTGGGGTGCTGCCCGGGCAGTGGGGTCCAACGCGTTGAGACGCTGAGAGTGAATCAGGTCCCTACCTTACAATGCTGGCAAGCGGAGGTGAGGGTGAGAAGCAACAGCAGCTCACCTCGGGAACGTCGAGCCCTCTGGCCGCCACATCAGTGGCTACGAGCACGCCGCTGGGGTGCTGCTTGAAGCGGTCCAACGCCTTGAGACGCTGCCGCTGCTGCTGCTGCGCGTGCAGAGGGAAGGAGGGCACCTGACAGGGGAAAAGGAAGAGGGGCAAGCGAGGCAAGGCAAGGAGGATCAAGCAAAGGCGCGACCAAAGGTTGGGAAGAGAAGGGCACAATGACTTATAGAGAGAGAAGAGAAGGTTTCAAGCTTACTTGCAGGAAGGAAAGGAGGGCAAAAAGGGTTTCCTTACTTGCAGGAGGGAGAGCAGGGAAGCGAGGCGGCGGACAGAGGAGATGGCGGAGCAGAAGACAAGCGTTCGACCAAAGGTGCCGTGCATGCGCAGGAGGTAGAGGAGAAAGACGTCCCTCATGCTGTCGTCACACCTGCAGGCAGAGAGGGGAGGCAGAGAGGAGGACTTGTGGGTGTTGGGACATCAGTGCTATGGCCAGCACCCTACACCTCGAGTCCATGCTTGTCAGCAGCATCAGTGCTATGGCCAGCACCCTAGCTGATCAGCATCATGCCTCCCACCACTTCCCCATGCAACTGCTGACCAATCAGTGGTCTGAACAATTTTCACCCCACTCACTCTAGAACAGCTTCCTGCACGCCACTGACCACCACATCAGCAGTGACGGCCGCATGCCAGTCAACTCCATAAGTGCCACAGTCACCACTCTACACCCGTCTAGACCATTCTAAGTACCGTACCAGCACAACCCCTTGAAGTGACCTAGGGACCACTCACTCTAGAGCAGCTTCCTGCACGCCACTGGCGACCACATTGGCAGTGGTGAGATCCACAATGGCAGGGGACGGCCGCATGCCAGTGAGCTCCATAAGAGCCGCCACCACCCTATCCCTCTCCAACCCCTTCTCCCTCTCCTTCTCCCCCTCATCCTCCTCCCCTCCCTCTCCCCCCTGCGCTCCCTCCCTCTCTCGCTTCCTTCCGGTCCGTCTCTCTGCCCCGGGTCCTCCTGGGGTTCGTTTTTTCCCTTGCAGCTGCCCGCGTGTGTCGTCGGGCAGAACGAGGGTTGCGGAGAAGACTAGAACCTGCCGCTTCTTCTTCGCAAGGGTGGTTGGCTGAAGAGGAAAGGCCTCCTCCCCTCCTCCTTCTCCTCCTTCTTGTTCTTCCCCCACTTCTCCCTCCTCCCCATCCTCCCCACCCTCTTCTCCTTCTTCTCTTCCTTTCTCCCCCTTACTCTCCTCCTCCTCCTCCAATTTCTCCTTTTCCTCCTCTTCCTCTCCTTCCCCTTCCTTCTCAGCCCTTTCCATCCCCGCTTTCCCCTTCCCTTTCTTTCCCCTCGCTGCATCCCTCTCCGCAGCAATTTTAGCTGCCCGGGCTGCCTTTTTGGCTGCCCGAGCAGCATCCCGGGCAGCCAGAGCCGCCTCCTTCGCCTTGGCAGCAGCGAGGGAAGCCGCAGTGGGGGGCAGCATTCCCAAAATGGACGAAAGTTCCTTGAACCTTCCTGGGTCGGCCATGCGATCAGCCTCGTCTAGCACGAGAAAGGAGAGGTACTCGAGCTGCAGTGGGTGGTGGGGGCGGGGGGATGCGGGCAAGTGGAAGGGTTGGTAAGGGGTTGAGCGGGGCAAGGGGAGCGTTACAGAGGGAAGCGGCCATGCGGTCAGCCTCGTCTAGAGCGAGGAAGGAGAGGTACTCGAGCTGCAAGAGGGGAGAGGATGGAGGGGTGGAGGGAGGGGAGTTGAGGGAGCGTTACGGAGGTGAGCGGGGAAGAGGAGTTCTGAGGCGCCTCACAAGCCAGACATGCGACCAGCCTCGTCTAGCACGAGAAAGGAGAGGTACTCGAGCTGCAAGGAGGGGGGGGGAGGGGGGATGCGGTACAGAGGGAAGCAGCAGCCATGCGATCAGCCTCGTCTAGCACGAGAAAGGAGAGGTACTCGAGCTGCAAGGAGGACGAGGGGGCATGTAAAGACGTGAGCGGGTGAGTGAGAAAGGAGGCGAAGGGAGTGGTAGAGGGGAGAGCAGCCATGCGGTCAGCCTCTTCGAGAACGAGAAAGGCGAGGTACTCGAGCTGAAAAGGAGGGGAGGGGAATGGGGAATAGGGAATGGGTGGTGGCAAGGGTGTATGGGTGATGCGCCTCCCTACCTGCACCGTACCTCCATGCTTACAGAAAAAGACAGACACACACACACACACACATACCCACCCACAGACAGTCCCTACCTGCACCAGGTGCGCCTCCCCTTGGCTCATGAGCTCCCACAGCCGCCCGGGCGTGCCGACCACACAATCTGAAGCCCACCGCTGCTTCAGCACCCAGCACCCACCGCTGCATGCTGACCGCAATCTGAGGCCCAAGGCTCAGCACCCACCACCCACCGCTGAGGCCCAGCACCCAGCACCCAGCACCCACCGCTGCATGCTGAACACAATCTGAGGCCCAAGGCTCAGCACCCACCGCTGCTTCACCTCCCTTAAACACCACATGCACACATATGTACCTTCACCAAATGCCCCTCCCTACCTTCGCCAGGTGTCCCTCCCTGTCTGTAGAAACAAATAGACACACACATAGACACCCATGCACAGTCCTACCCGCAACAGAAACGCACGTAGACGCATACAGACGGACGCATCTTGACAGTCCCACCTGCACCAGGTGCGCCTCCCCTTGGCTCATCAGCTCCCACAGCCCGCCCCTGCATATAGAAACATAAAAACACACATAGACACACATACAGACAGTCCCTACCTGCACCAGGTGCGCCTCCCCTTGGCTCATCAGCTCCCACAGCCGCCCGGGAGTGCCGACCACAATCTGCGGCCCGAGGCTCAGCACGCGCCGCTGCTTCACCTCCGCCATGCCGCCCACAATGCCGGCCACGTGGATGCCCGTGTGGCGGGCCGCGTCTTTTATGTGCGATACGATCTGCAGCGCCAGCTCGCGCGTGGGAGTGATGATGAGCGCCCGCAACGGCCCCTTCACTCTCTTCCGAACCCCGCCGCCCATCGCCTTCTTCCCCACCCCATCCCCTTCCCCCTCTTTATCCCCCTCCCCTCCCCCCTCCCCTTCCCTGCTCTGCTCCTCCCCATCCCTATCACCCCCCGCGCCTTCCCCCCCCTCCCCTCCCCCTTCTCCTCCCGCATCCTCCCCTTCCCCTTCCCCTTCCTCCCCCCACGTCCCACCCCCATCCTTCAACCTCCGCTCCTTCTCCCTTTCATCCAATAACCTCTGTAGAATCGGGATGGCAAACGCGAGTGTCTTACCCGACCCAGTTTCAGCCGCCCCCACAACGTCCCTGCCCCGGGACGCAGCAGCGGGGATGCAGGCGCGCTGAATGGCCGTGGGGGAGGTGAACCCCAGGTCGCTGAGGGCGCGCAGAATGAGCGGGTGCAGACGGAGGGGTTCCCATTCCGGCATGTCTATGTCCTCTTCTCTCTCCTCACCTTCTCCCTCTTCTCCTTCTCTCTCCTCCACTGCTTCTCCTCCCGTCCCCTCCCCATCACTCTCCTCCCCATCTTCCTCTCCCTCCTCCCCTTCCTTCTCTTCCCCCTCCTCTCCCTCCTCTTTATCCTCTCCATCCTCTCTTTCCACTCCCTCCTCCCTCTCCTTCGCGTCTCCCTCCTCCTCTCCCTCCTCCTTACCCTCCTCTTGCTTCTCTCCTGCGCCCTTGCTCTTCTCACCCCGTCCCCCCCCCCTTCAGAGCCTTTTTCAGCTGCTTCCGCTGCATCTTCCGCCTCTTGCTCTTGCTCATCTTCCCCGTCCCCTCCCCCTCCTCCGCTAAACCCTCCTCTAAAACCCTGTCCCCTACCCCCCCGTCTCCCAACCCAGTTCCACTTTCCCCCCCGTCCGCCTCAACATCCCCATCTCCAGGCTCTACCCCCGCGGCTTCTTCCCCCGATTCTCCCCCGCCCTCCGAATCTCCGCCCTCCATAGCTCCGCCAGCCAAGTCCCCCCCGCCCTCCATCTCTCCGCCAGCCACCAATCCCTCAAACTCCGCCGGGTCGATCTCCTCCAGCCCCATGAAGCCTTGCGGGGAGAGATGGGGGAAACCGGGGGTGGGGCGGAAACCGGAAAAAATGTGGCTTGTTTTTTCCCTACATCTCCATCTCTCCGCCAGCCCCCAGCAACTCAAACTCCCCCGAGCCCCATGAAGCTTGGCGGGGGGGATGGCGGAAGATGGGGGGAGATGGCGGAGGCAAGTGAGGGAGAGGGAGCGGATGCAGGGAGGGGAGGGAGGGGGGTTTGGGTTACAAACGACGCGGAAAAATAAAAATGCTGTCAAGAGCAGAGAGGGGTTGGGACTCCAGGAAGGTTGAAACTTCAAAAAAGAGCTAAAGGGAAGTCGACCAAGAGAGAATTGCAGAAGGTCCGTAGAGATTGCCGAGCGGGGTCACGAAGGGTACGAAGAGGGTCACGAAGAGGGTGGCACTATAACAGACCTCCCGCTGTGGGATTGCACGGCCAGGGTTTCGGGTTTCGGGTTTCGGGTTTCGAGGGCTCGGGGGCCTCGGAGCTCCAGGAAAAGAACGATCAGGTGAACGTCCGGTTAGGGCTAACGATATGGAATTCTGGCGCACCTCCCGCGGCGGGGTTGCGCGGGTCCATGAGCATGTGCGTCCCTGCCACGGGCGTCACGTCCTTCCATTTGACCATGCTGAAATTCAACCTGCCTCCGCGTATCGTCTTCCCTCCACCAATCACCTTTCCCCCGCCTCCCCCGAAAGCCTTTCCTACTCCGCCTCGCCGCGAGTGTCCACCCCTTTTGCCGCTTGCTGCTCCCTTATTCTTCCCCCGAAATCCATCTCCTTTACCGCTCACGCTGCCTTCTTTTATTGCCAATCGCGACCCGAGTTTTGCTGCGCCGCCTCGACTGCGTGCACCTCCGCGACCGCCTCTCATGGCTAACTGAGTCTCGACAACACCGGGAAGGGAGTATCTTCAAAGTTGAAGGTTTTCTTTCCACCTCGTTTATGCCCTAAATCTTGACTTGTTGGATTTTCAGGTGGGAGGGATGCTGGTGCTGGTGCACTTCAAAGCGCTTCGATATTACAAATTTTATTGAGTTGATAGGGAATGACAAATATTGACCAGCTGTTACGGGTGCAATCGAGTGAACGAACGAGAATTGCACTATCGAAGCAAGAGTACAATGAGCGAAGGCATGAGCGAAGAATATATAGCGAAACTACAGTGGTAACGGTAATGGACTGTGGTTGTCGCGCGACGGGCCTGGAACTGAGGTTAGGGAAAGTGTCGAAGCGGAGGCCCGGAGCGCGGGTTACCCGCCGAGCCGTGAGGTCGGGGTGCGACGTGCGAAAAATGGCGGGCGGATTGTCGATGCGAGGATTGCGAGTGGTAACGGTGCTGACTGTGGTGCTACAGTGATGTACGCGTTGAGCAGGGATGCGAAGTAAGGAAAATATATTTTCCTTACACTACCCCCCCCCCCCCTAAGGAGGTCCTCCTTACGAAAGTGCGTGTACATCCCTGAAGTTTCGGCTGCGCAGATACTCGGTGAGGACGGGGTGGTTTTCGATTCTATCCAGGGGAACCCAATTATCTTCGGTGGGTGTACGGTCTTTCCAGCGAATCAGGAATTCGATCCTTCGGGCTCCTCGAGGGTCACGGACTCGGTGGCTTAGGATTTTTTCGGGGGTGATGATTGGTTCGGTTGGCGGTCGTGTCATGCTGGCTGGGCGATTGCGTGGCAGTTGGCTCGTGGACGGGACGTAAGGGCGGAGCAGGCTGACGTGGAACGAGGGGCTGACGTACCAGTCAGCAGGGAGGAGGAGGTGGGCGGTGACGGGTGTGAGCATGTGGCTTATGCGAAATGGCCCACAGGTTCGGGGGCGGAGTTTTGGGGTAATGGGCAGTCGGAGATTCTGGGTGTCGAGCAAAACTAAGTCGTCGGGCTGGTAAGTGACAGGTCTGCGGTGGCGGTCGGCGTTACGTTTAGCGATGATGTTAGCTTTTTTAATTGCGTCTGCTGCCCTGGTCCGTGCTGCTTGCAAAATTTCGGCGAACTGTTGCGCGCGTGGAACCGGGTTGTCGGGGTTCGGGGTCATGGGTACTGTTGGGTCTTGTCCGTAGTTCAGGTAAAATGGTGACTGTTGGGTCGTGGCGGATGGGGCGTTGTTATATGCGAATTCGATGAGCGGCAGTTGCTGTTCCCACGTGTTTGGGTCGTCGCACGTGGCCCGGATGAGCTGTTCCATGGTCTGGTTTGTCCGTTCTGTCTGTCCGTCTGTTTCGGGGTGGTACGATGAACTAAACTGTAGTCGCGTGCCGAACTGCTGCCACAGGTTCCGCCAGAAGTTGCTGGTGAATTTCGTGTCTCTGTCGCTGATGATTGATGCTGGTATCCCGTGTAGTCGAACGACGGTGGAGATGAAGAGGCGGGCTGTTTCTTCGGCTGTGATTGATTTTTTGCAGGCTGCGAAATGTGCCATTTTCGTCAGTCGATCGACGACGACCAGGATCGCGTCATTCCCACTCGTCCCGGCCGGTAACCCCGTGACGAAGTCCATCGTCACCTGCTGCCAAGCACGCTCTGGGGGTGGGATCGGCTGCAACTGTCCCGCCGGCCGCTTCCGTGATGACTTCATGACCTGGCAAGTGGGACACGATGCCACGTGTCGCTGTACGTCGGTCAACATTTCGGGCCAGTAATAATACCGCTGCAGCTGCTGCCGTGTTTTTTCTACCCCGAAATGACCCGAGGTAACCCCGTCGTGTGCCTCCTGTAATAGTAATTCCCGTAGTAGTGTGTACCCTGGTACCCAGATGCGGTCGGTCCCGGCTTTTACGTAATAGACTCCCTTGGCTGCTGCGAACTGCTGCGAATTTCCTCCTGTGAAGAATGGGTCGGTAAATAGTCCTGTCAGTAGCGGGCTGGTCTGGGCGAGTAGTATCGCGTGAATTTGGGCAGTGGGGCGGGTCAGTGCGTCGGCGATGTTCGAGGCTCCTTTTTCATAGGTGACTGTGTAGTGGAAGTTTGACTCGAGGAAATCGAGCCAACGAATCTGTCGTGGGTTGAGGTGGGGCTGTGCGCGGAGGTACTGTAGTGATCGGTGGTCTGTCCGTACTGTCACGTCTGCGCCGGTCAAGTAGCAGCGCCACACTTTGAACGCATGCACGATCGCGAGCATTTCGCGGTCGTGTATCGGATAATTTCGCTCGGGCGGATGCAGTTTTTGTGACTCGTATGCGATGGGCTGTAGGCCGTTGCCGAAGTCCTGTAGCAGTACGGCTCCAATGGCGATGTCGCTCGCGTCTGTAACAACCTCGAAGGGGCGGTGTGGGTCGGCGATGCGCAGGACGGGCTGTGAACAGAGAACATTTTTTAGGGCAGAGAAGGCAGCATGCTCTTTCTCCCCCCACGTAAAAACGACCCCTTTTCGCAGTAAATCAGTCAGCGGGGCTGTCAACTGTGCCATGTCGGGGACGAACCGACGCACATAATTAACGAACCCTAAAAAACTCTGCAGCTCCGTGATGTTTGTCGGGGGACGCCACGCTTTTACCGTATCCAGCTTCTTTGGGTCGATTTCAACTCCAGCCTCCGAAATAACATGCCCTAGAAATTCTAACCTATCCTGAAAGAACTCGCACTTGGAACCCTTGGTCAGTAGGCGATGTTCGTCTAAAACCTTAAAAACCGCTTCCAGATCCGCTAAGTGCTGCTGCTTGTCCCGACTGTAAACTAGGATGTCATCGAGGTAAACTATGACGCATTTATCTAAGAGCGGCCTAAATGCCTCGTTCATGGTCATCTGAAAAGTCGCCGGTGCGTTGGTTAGCCCGAAGGGCATCACAGTGTATTCGAACGACCCGTACCTAGTCCTAAATGCTGTCTTGGCGCAGTCCGATGGTTCGACCCGAATCTGATGGTAACCCCCCCGTAAGTCTATTTTCGAAAACACTCGTGCTGTTCGCAGTTGGTCGATCAGTTCGTCGGCGCGGGGAATGGGGTATCGCGACTTGACTGTTACCCTGTTCAGTGCTCTGTAGTCGATACACATGCGAAAGCCCCCGTCTTTTTTTCGGCGTGAACAGTATCGGTGCGGCGAATGGTGACGAGCTTGGCCGGATGAACTTTTTCTCTAACAGGTAATCTAACTGCTTCCTTAGTTCGTCGAGCTCGGGCTGTGTCAGTCTGAACTGGCGCTGTACGGTTGGCTGTGCCCCTGGTTCTAATTCGATTCGGTGGTCATGTGCTCGCTGAGGTGGCAACCCTTCCGGTAAGTCGTCGGGAAAAATCCCGGGGTACTGTTTCAACAGTTCCTGTAATTCGGGCGGTACAGCTTCCAGCAGTTTCTTGAAATCGCTCGGCTGCTCTGCTTCCTCTACTACTGCGATATCTATTGCGTACACGTCAGCTCCAGCAGCGACAGCCCGTTTCATTGTGACGTTGACGTGCACCGTTGAAGACTCGGGCGACTGCCAACGAGGTAGTTGGATCAGCTACCACCACTTCGCACGGTGCAGCTACCCGTCGTCCAGTCAATTCGTGGGTTATACCGTCGCAGCCAATCGCGCCCCAGTAAAATGTCGTGCCCATCCAGTGTTGTCGCGAGCATTTCCTGTGTAAACCCAAAATTTCCCCCGCAGCGGACTTTGACTCTCTCCACCTTTTCCCGTATGGCCAGCGGCGTGCCGTCGACTAAGCGTGCGTCTATCTCCGGTAAGCAACGGCTAAGTGTCAGTTGCAGTTTTCGTGCGGTTGCGGTATTAACTAAGCTGTGGCTCGCTCCTCCGTCAATAAAAATCTTCACTGCTGCTCCCTGTATTTTCCCGTGGATCAGTACTGGGCAATCCGTCGCTGTACCCTCCTTATTCATCCGAGCCCGATCGATGGCGTGAATCGGTACTGTGACTCGGTGAGGGTCGGTGTGGTTGGGCGAGCAGGCAGTCTCGTCAGTAGTTGGCCCAACTTCTACTGACTGCTGGCGTTTCCCTGCCTCTGAGACTCCCTCCCCTGCTCTGCTCCGCGGCGCCTTAGCTCCTCTGGGCATTCGCTCTTGCGATGGCCCGGCCTGTTGCAAGCAAAGCAGCGCCCCTTAAATGGCGTGGCAGCTGCATTTGTCGCAACGGCGTTCACAGTGGCGTGCTCGATCGGTCCCCGAGGACGATGTCCGTGGTAGAACCCCGGTCTCGGTCGACGTAGGATGTCGATTTTCTTGGCGAGCGCGAGAATCTCGTTGAAATTCGAGAGCCCGCGTAGCATGATTTCGTGCGAGATGTCTGGTTTTAGCCCTCCGACGTAACGGTCCACCCGCTTTGCTTCGTGCATATAGCCGACTTGCTCGCAAAGTGCGAGAAAACCGCTCGTGTAATCTTGAACCGATCCGAGCTGCCGCCAATTGCGCAATCTCTGACGCGCCGAAATAGAAGCCGCGATCGGCTTGAAGCGCGCCCGAAGCCCTGCGCACCACGCATCCCACGTGTTGTATTGGGCTGTTTCGCAGAACGAACTCCAGGTGACAGCTGGACCCGTGGGCCCTTCCTCTTGCGACGGTGGCTCGTAGGCGCGTGGCGACGTCACGATGACTCGCCACCAGTCCATGGCGGGGCCCCTTAGCAGCGAAACGGCATACCGAATCTTCGCTGCGTCCGACTCGACGTAATTTGCGTCGAAGAAGACGTTCATCGTGAAGACCCACGATTGAACTGTCGCACCTCCACGCTGACTCGGGTCAAAGCAGGGCGGGCGTTGCGGCTTGAGTGGCATTGGTGCCATAATGGCTTGTTCGCCACTTGTCGCCGCGAACTCCACGTGCCGACGGGCTTCGCGAGGCTCCCGCGGGCTTGGTGCGGCCCTGTTTCCTCCCATGCCAGGCATCGGCTGGGTCGTGCCATCACTGGCTGCGCCTGAGCGCTGTCCCATGCTGTTATTGTGTGTGGGTGTGCCGGACGAAATGATGATCGGCTCGTCCGATTGTGCAGATGCGTTTGTCGGTGCGTGTGGTGGTGCTGGAATGTTCATCGTTGATTGCTGACGCGCGGAGTCACGTTCCGCTGTGAGTGTCGCAATTTCGAGCGCCGAATCTTCGAGTTGGCGCACCAGGCGGTCGAGCTGCTCCTGCGTCAATGTGGCGAGCGTGATTTCGGCCATGGCGGGGGTGTCGGGCGAGCTCAGCGGGAGCCTCAGTCGTGGCCGTGCGTGCTTACGAGAGAGCACTACGAGCGGCGGTGCTGTATCGCTGAGAGACGTCCACCCCCCCCAAAAAATTGAGATAGTGGGGAAGCGAAGGTGTGGGTGCGGTCCGAGAAGAGATCGTAGGCTCTGAATACCAAGTGTTACGGGTGCAATTGAGTGAACGAACGAGAATTGCACTATCGAAGCAAGAGTACAATGAGCGAAGGCATGAGCGAAGAATATATAGCGAAACTACAGTGGTAACGGTAATGGACTGTGGTTGTCGCGCGACGGGCCTGGAACTGAGGTTAGGGAAAGTGTCGAAGCGGAGGCCCGGAGCGCGGGTTACTCGCCGAGCCGTGAGGTCGGGGTGCGACATGCGAAAAATGGCGGGCGGATTGTCGATGCGAGGATTGCGAGTGGTAACGGTGCTGACTGTGGTGCTACAGTGATGTACGCGTTGAGCAGGGATGCGAAGTAAGGAAAAGAGATTTTCGTTACACCAGCCCATTGAATTCATCGAATAACACGCGTTACAATCTCACATCGCTCTATATAGGGATTTCAGAATCGAAGTGTAGTCAAATGCTGAATAGAGTAACGGTGATCGAGCAAATATTGTCCTGACGAATGGGGACTTTTGATGGCGTGTCATGTGCAACGAGACTGCCACATCGGAGGCCAAAATCTCCGCGCTAGGCGCTGGTGAGTCAGGCTCGTGCGGCGCGGCAATCTCGGTGGTCCTGGGAGTTACGAAATCTCCTCAACACGCATGGATGAGCAAATCAGAGAAGCTTTCAGCGATTCTAGACAGGAATCACAAAACAAGCCGAATTTCAGATGCACTCTCTCAACAGCCAGCAACTGTCAGTATGTTTCTCATGCCCTCATGGAATTCACATGACACACAATTGCGACATTACGAGCCTCAGATCTCCAAAATTCTCAAGCCTTCCATTGTAAACAGCAATTAGACAACGGTTCGTTGTTGAGGCTTGAGAACCATGGCTACTGTTGCTGTCGCTGCTGCGTCCGCTAACGTTACACTGAAACTCTCAGCTTCGCGGAATGGGGTCCTCTCCTCTCGGACACCTGCTCTAGCCTCGTTCTCCAGGCTCTCTAGGACAGGTAAGATGTCTCTTCGATTCTTCACCTCTCCTTCTGGTATCACAAAAAATTGTTATACGGACGATTTACTCAGAGGCTCACGAACGGGTGACCATTTGCAGGTGTTGCGGGGAAACGCAAGCTTGCGGTGACGGCCACCTCACCACAAGTGGAGGAGTACAAGGACAAGGCAACGGAACTCGTCGACGTTGCCAAATCCAAGGTTAACAATTTGCCACAATTCTCATCCTGTTCCAAATTCCGCCTCTGTGTTGGACGCTTTTAACGGCGAGTCTTATAATTGGTGATGCAGTGGGAAACAGTTGAGAACAAGCCTCTGGTAGCTCTGTACGCCGGTGGAGCCGTTGTTGGCTTGTGGATAACATCCGCAATCCTGGGTGCTATCGACAGCATCCCGTTGGTGAGAAACTTACACCATGCAGTTGCCATAGCCGTCATTCCCCGTGTAATTGTTTCGCCATTTCTTTGATGCTTATCCTCTTGTATCACGCTGCAGGTTCCAGGCTTCCTGAAGCTTGTTGGAACCGTCTACACTGGATGGTTCGCCTACCGCTACTTGATTTTCGAGGTCCGTTGTTACTGTCGAGCAAAAATGGTATCAGCAGCACCTTTCTCGGGCTAATGACTCTGCCCTTCTCGCACTGCAGGCTTCCCGTAAAGAGCTGTCCGAGAAGGTGGCGGATTTGGTCTCCCAGATTAAGTGATGCTATGTACCGTATGTTACAAAGCTTGGGACCAAGTCCCACAGCATACTTGGTGTGTCACGTATGTAAATCAGTTTGTATGAACATTGATGAGAAGCTAGAACCATTGTGCTAGCGCATGTGTTGAGAAGCTAGAACCATCGTGCTAGCGCATGTGTTGAGAAGCTAGAACCATTGTGCTAGCGCATGTTTTGTACATGAATTATTGCCAGGTTGGGCAGTGCAATCTTTTACAATTGATTCCAACAAAACGCCCGGCCATGAGCTAGGGTCTAAAACTTGATACCCCAGGGACCAAGAAATGGTAAGCCATCTATGATCTAGAGGAAATCATTTGAGCCTGGAAAATGTTGCATGTCCGGATGAACCCCTCCACCTGGAGGACCTCTAGGCCTTGGACCGCCATCCCTATAAGAAAGGAGGAGGTTAGTTTCAGGGTGTGTGCCAAGATCCAAAAGCAAAGGGGGGAGACCGAACAGCTGTGCATGTATATGCTTGTATGACTGTCAGTGTGTGTCAGTTGTCGGACCACATTCGGTAAGTAAATCTTGGCGTCATGTCAAAGTCACTCAACAGCACCTCAAGCAGATGATCAAGTGCTTACCCGAATCTGCCGGGCTCGAAGCCCGGAATGCCTGGGGGACCAAACGGATCAAAGCGAGCTCCTGGAGGCATTCCACTGAAACCACACAAACGATATGAATAAGAGTTGCAACTGCAAGAGTGATAACAACGAGAAAAAAGCCCCGAAGTTATGAGAGGCATGCATGTCTGAAAAAGGTTTAGGGATGGAAGCTTACGGAGGCAAGGGTCCCACACCTCCAACTCCTCCTGGAAACTGAGGGCCCCACCTTGGATCATGAGGCCCTGCACATTACAGAGAGAGAATGGAAGTGCGAGTCGCAGAAGTGGTACGTGAGCACTAACGCATGCACTGACACCCGCCTTCATGAGAGCATCCCTATATTGGGAGATAACTCATACCTACAAGCATGCTTCCTCCACCGAAACCAGGTCTGCCACACACAATGAAGGTATTCACGAACGCAATCAGGGTGAGTACCACAATGAAGAGAACACATGAAGATAAACAAAACGAAACGAGGACGGGATTACGAATTCCTACCTTGACGGCATGATCCCAGCTCCCCCTCCTGGGTGCAAGTCATCGTATGGTGGCCCTGCAGGAATGGGGGGGTAAACAATCCCTTCCCCTCCCCCCACCCCACCAACCGAGCCACGCTGAGGTTCCTCAAAATATACCCCTCCTGCTCGCTCTCCCTCTCTCCCTGATCTCACTGATTCCTGTCCTGCTGTGCCTGTGGAAGTAGGCTGTGCTGCAGTAGCAGCGCCAGCAGCAGCAGCAGCAGCACCAGCGCCAGCAGTCCCAGCAGGAGTGCTAGAGGTGGTGCTGGAAGTCAAGGGCTCGATGATGGCTGATGAGATGGATGTTACCAGTGCTGGGAGGTTAGTGAAGATTTTACTGTAGTCGGTTGACGTCGGCGGGGTGTCTGCTGACGTATGCTCAGATACCCTGGATAGTGGAGTGGAAGCAGTCAGAGAACGCAGCCAATTGAAGGAACTTTAGTGCGCGCTAGAGAATGTTATGGAAAGGGAGCAATAATGAATGTAGGAGGTCCACAAACCTAATCTCAAGATGAGAGACAGAAGCTGAAGCTCCTCCTGTCGCTGCTGAACCTGCTCCAGCCATCGCTGTTGCATCCACCATAAGAAGCTCCCCGTCTGCAACAGATAAGCACTGAACCACCACTCTCTCTGCTGTACCAGTCTTCTCTGCACTTGCTGCTTCCGCCGAATCTCCTGTGCTCTCGTGAGCATACGCGAAATTGTAAACACCTGAAACTGTGTTCCAACCCTCAATTCCAGCATCCGCGTTTAAAGCTACATCCCTCGACCCTGCAATCATGAAGAAACTCAGAAACCGTAAACCGCAAAAAATCACAAACAATTACAGAGAACTTCAACGCGGCCAACGCAAGGAGATTTGTCCGCCAAAGCTAATGAGCCCCTTTTCGACTTCTCACCTGCAGCTACCTCAGCGGCGTCAGGGCCGACAGCGAGGCACCTAAATCCAGACGAGAGGAACGTCGCATGGATCGCAAACGCAACGCTATCTTGTTTGGAAGCGAATCTCGGTCGATATGCTCGAACCAGAGCTAAGACCGCCTCGGAAGTGGTCATCTGAGCCGGGATTTGACGAGCTGTGGGATGCCGTAATCAGGAAACTCAGGAAAACAACCACGACGCTTAGGGTATAAGAGACGAGCACGCAATACTTATGGACAAACACAGATGCTAGTACGACTGCGTGATTATGAGGCGTCTAGGGGAAGTCCGCACCCGCAATGAAGGAATGGCCATGCAGCAGAGAAGCCAGCCTTTGAGGAATTCAAGAATTATTGGAGGGCTTCCATTGTGCAGCAATTTCGCAGCTCTAAGTATCCTGTTCGCGTACCTCGCCTGCTTGCGTCGCCCGCCAATCACAATCTTTGATCGAAGACTAGGTCTGACGAAATACTCAGCTTGCGTATCAAGAATATGTTGAAACACTCAAATTGTCGAAGAAATAACTGTACCGAATCGATATATTGAGACACGGGCTCAGAAACTGTTTGGACGTGCGGAGCGTGGGTCCTTTCCAAACCAACAACGCTGCCTTGCCACGCGTTACAGTCATCAGTTTGAACTTGTCGAACTAATACCCGAGGCTCGGTAGCACCTGATTCCCAACCACCGGCGCCAAACCAGCAGCTTCGGACCAAGTCTCCAGTTCGCGCCGCGCCCTCCTACCAGTCCCGCTGTTCTGGAGTCCTCCACAACTGTACAAGGCAAAGGCGGAGAGAACATTTCAGTACGTCTTCCCCGCATACACATACAGTGCTTCCGCCCCGACTTCGCAGAGCCACTTTCCGCCAATCCCGGTCACCTTCCACCAACTTCTAGGGACCATCCGCCAAGCACTCCCCCTCCCCACGCAACAGCTCCGGCACCCTCGTCCGCATCTCCACGCCAATCCCTCCCTCTCCCCCCTTACCCCATTCCCCCATCCCCGCTCCCCATCTCCCCGGCCTACTTCCCCCCTTACCCCAATCGCCCTGCCAGCCAGCCCAGCTTTTCTCCCCTTCAGTCTCAGCCATGGCGGTCCTTCCTTCCCTTCCACACCCACACCAACTCTGATTATTCCCTGCTCACCTCGCTAAGCCTCGCCTCGCCCACCCCGTAGTTAGAACTTAGGACAACACCTTAGATCACCGTAACAGTACTCTGAACCTTGGGTGGTTCTCTAGTATTCAAAGTATAACCCGCATTGCGTTATCACCCGCTCTTCCTCCCTCACTTTCAGGTCTCACGTCTTGATCACTAAATGCGCGTTCTTTAGTTCGTGTTCCCTGAGACAAAGTCTCTACGCTTCGCAACTTTTATTATTATTATGTTAAAATCATCTGTAAGGCGCACCTAGTTGCCAGTGTTCAGCTGAGACTGAGTTCTCCAGTGCTTGCGTAGAGTCGCGTAACCCTAATTGCACAGCAGGCCCATGGGTAGTTGTTAAGGCCGTATTAACTGCTGGGCCAGTGAGGCAGGTGGACCTATGGGTGGGTGCTTATCTAGCGAGAAGGCGACGAAAGAGGAGCAAAGACCTAACAGTAACCCACCCCCTTCAGGTGAGTCGCTAACGGCTAATAATGCATTAGTTAATGGTCGTCCCTATTGACGGAAGTTACTCAGTTTGTTTGTCGACTTATTTAGCTGTTGATGCATAAGTGCGACGTGCCGTACTTTCTAGCTTTTATCCTTCGCTACGATCGATTAAATCGCCTCCTTCCAGTGTTCGGTCCGTCAGCAAGTTTGTTGTTATCATGTCTTTATGCTAGCTTATTTTGTCGGCTATCCATCAATTCAATAGTCAAACTTCCAAACCACTTGGAAAGGTAGTTACGGGGCTCCAGAGGCGAGATGCTTTCGTTACACCAGTTAGCATGGTATTTAGAATGTCCGTCTTAGAAACGCGTACCCTCGACATTTCATCGGTTTTCGACTCGCTTAGTGCTCATTTCATTCCGACCATTTCGTCTTTCATCCATATTTTTTCTCCCTGCTTATGCGGTGAGTTGGCTTAGGTTTCCGGGAGTGCATTTTTATTTTTATTTCTATTTTTAACGGCAGAATCTCACTCCTTTGTTTTTCCCCCCACCCCCCACCCCCACCCCACCCACTTGTCTTCCCCTCCTGCTTAGGCGGCGAGCCGCCTAAAGTTTCCGCGGGTGCGCCTGCTCCAGAATCGGGAAGCCAGCAGCAACCGCAACTGCAGCAGCAGGAGCAGCAGCAGCAGCAGCTAGCGGAGGAACAATGGCGGTTGCAGCAGCAGAAGGAGCAGGAGGCTCTTCAGCAGAAACAGGCGTACGAGGCTCAGCAAATGCAGGAGCAGCAGCAGTTACAGATGCAACAGCAGCAGCAGATGCACTACCAGCAGCAGCAGATGCAGATGCAGCAGCAGCAGCAACAACAAATGTATATGCAGCAACAGCAACAGCAGCAGTATGGTGTAGATCAGCAAGGATATAACCCTCAATACGGTATGCAACAACAGGACCCCAGGTACATGCAACAACAGCACATGCAGCAGCAGCAGCCCCCGCCTATGAATCCTTACCAGCAGCCCCCCCACCTAGCCCCCCCGCTTCCGCCAGGCTTCCAACAACCCGCTGCGCCCATTCCCCCCCGCGGGTTACGACAAGTGAACGAGGAGGAGGAGGTCAACGACGCGCAGGGGGGTTGGGGAGGCGGAGCTCCCGCGGGAGCAGCAGGCGGCGGAGGTGTTATCGGGTATCAGGAGCAGCCGGCGGAGCTACAGGAATATTCGTACCCGGATTTAGTCGACGCGACGGAGGATTTCCAGGAGCATTCGGTGCTGGGAGAGGGGGGGTTCGGGAAGGTTTATAAGGGGTACGTTTTGGATCGGTTTCCCGTGGAAGGCGGACCGCCTGTGACGGCGACGGTGGCGATTAAGAAGCTGAACCCGTCGGGTTACCAGAGCAAAGTGGAATGGATGGTACGATTGTCGCAGCCCTTTTTTTTTCCGCTTGAGCGCCTGTGTCTTCGCCTTCCGTTCCCCCTCCCCCCTCCATCCCCCTTCCTCCCCCTCTCTCGCATGTTCCGGTGACCCTCTCCTCGCGCTTTTCCGCTCCCCTCGTGCTCTTCCGCTCTCTTCCCTTGCACTCCTTAACACTCGCTCTCCCATTGCTCTTCCGCGCGTCGCTGTCGCGCTCTGACGTCGCCTCTTCCCTGATGTGATCCGGTAGTTGTTTCTGGATACTCGTAGCTCCAGTCAGTCATCCGGTTCTACGTTTATCGATTCATTCAATCGTTTACGTGAGGTCGCTTTTCTGAACAGTAGGATTTTCGACCAGGTGGTTTTGAGTCACTTTTGAAAACTTTCTCTCCACATTTCTCTCCCCCCCCTCGGCCCCACTTTTTAACGCGTGCGTGTCCGTGCGTGTGCTGTGCGTTGTGCGCTGTGCGCGTGTTTGCTAATGCACATGTGCGTGCGCGTGCTCGTGTGCGCTTGCTCGTGTGCGCGTGCTCATGTGTGGGTGCGTGAGCGTGTGCATCTGCGTGTGTGTGTGTGCGTGCGTGTTGTGTCAAATAACAGAGGGAGATCCTGGTGCTGGGGAAGCTGAACCACCCCAACTTGGTGCGGCTGATAGGCTACTGCGCGGAGCTCGAGGAGATGCTTCTCGTCTACGAGTTCGTTCCCCGAGGCAGCCTCGACTACCACCTCTGGCCAGGTGAGTCTTCAGCTACCACCTGTGGCCAGGTGAGGTTTCATGCGGGTGTTTCCCCTGTAAGTCCATTTGAGGGAAGGCCACTCGAGGGAGGGGCAAATGCGGACCTGGTGCGGCTGAAAGGCTACTGCGCGGAGCTCGAGGAGATGCTTCTTGTGTACGAGTTTGTCCCCGGATGCACTCTCGACTACCATCTCTGGCCAGGTGAGTTTCCATGCGCGTGTCTCCCTTGTAAGCCCACTCGAGGAAAGGTCAATCGATTATGTCTGCGAGTGGGCGCATCGGGATCAGCACTGTCTATGTGTCTCTCTGCGTCTGTGCTGTCAGCGCTCCTCTGACCCCTCATTGTGCCCCTCTGCTATCCCTTCCCGCTGCTTGCCCGTCTTCTTGCCCCTTCCCCCCTCCGCGCGCCCGCAGCCCCCAACGTCCCCGCGGACCTTCTGCCATGGCAAGCGCGCCTGCGCATAGCTCACGACGCTGCCTGTGGCTTGGCCCCTCTGACTCTCGTTTTGTGTCTCCTCCCCTTCATGTCCCTCCAGCCCCCAACGTGCCTGCGGACCCTCTGCCGTGGCAAGCGCGCCTGCGTATCGCGCACGACGCTGCCTGTGGCTTGGCGCATCTGCACGCCAGCAACTTCATTCACCGTGACTTCAAGGCTCCGAATATTCTCATAGCTGAGGTATGTCTGGGTAAGCCTCGGTGCGCCTGGGTGCGTGTGGGTACGTGTGGCTCATGGTGGGGCGTGTGGCTTGGCGCATCTGCATGCCAGCAACTTCATTCACCGCGACTTCAAGGCGCCGAATATTCGCCGCCTTCATTCATTGCTGAGGTTCATCCCTCACGCGCCTATTCCCGCGTTTTCCTCTCTCCGCCTTCCCTCTCCCTCTCCCCCTCGTCCTCGGTCCTCGCCGACCCTTTCCCTCGTCCCCAGCCGCCCGCAACGCCTGCCAAGCTGGCAGCTTTGGGCTGGCAAACCGCAAGCCTGGTGTTACGGAGTCTCAAGGGTACTCCCAAGGGTACTCCGGCCCGATTTCTCTCTCTTCACCCACCCCCACCCTTTTGTTTCTTTGAGGGCCTGGTCTTAAGGAGCCTCAAGGTACTCTGACCCTTTCCTCCCAATCCATCCCTACCCCCATCCCAACACCCACCGCCACCCCCATCCCCACCTTTACCCTGACCCCCATCCCTTACAGGCAAAGGACGGGCCTGATGCTGAGCCCCCCCCTCACCCCACCTTCAACCCCCCACCCATCTCCACCCCTCTCCACCCCTGACGACCCCGACCGTGCTTGTGCAGAACTACGCGGGCAAGTTGACGGATTTCGGGCTGGCAAAGGACGGGCCGGATGCAGGGCAGCTCAATGGTGCCCTGAGCCTTCCCCACCCCTCCGCACCCCTTCCCACCCCTCCCAACCCCTGATTCACCGTGCTTGTGCAGAACTATGCGGGCAAGTTGACGGATTTCGGGCTGGCAAAGGACGGGCCGGATGCAGGGCAGACGCACGTGTCGACTCAGATCATGGGCACCATGGGGTACCTGGACCCTCGATACGCTGAGACAGGTGGGCGAATGGTTGGAGTATGGTGAGACAGGTGTGCTGCTGTTTTTGGTACGGTGAGGTCGGTGGTATGATGGGGTATGGGTCACATTGGCAGGGCAGACGCATGTGTCGACTCAAATCATGGGCATTATGGGGTATCTTGATCCGCGAAACGCTGAAACAGGTGCGGTACTGGTTGTGGTATGACGAGACAGGTATGCAGCTTCTTGTGAAGCAAGAGACAGGGGTGTGTCAGGTGGCTCTTAAATCCACTCACAGGTACTGACTCGCACTCACACTCACTCACACTCACATGTGCCTCTGCCAATGTTCCCGTCAACCTTTGGTGCACGTCCTCCCCCACAGGCCAGCTGACAGTTGAAGTTTGACGTCTATGCCTACGGGGTGGTGCTCCTAGCACTTCTCACATGCATTGAATGGCATTGCCTCAAGTGCCCATTGATGCCCCATGCCTTAGCCTCTCTGCCCCTCTGTCTGTTCGATACGCCTGTGCCCCCACGGGTCAGCTGACAATGAAGAGTGACGTGTATGCCTACGGGGTGGTGCTTCTAGAGCTCCTCCACAGGCATCAATACGCATTCACATATGCATTCACTTGTCCCTGTCCCTCTTTGTCATGCCTCAACCCCCACAGGTCAACTCACAGTGAAGAGTGACGTGTATGCTTATGGAGTGGTGCTGCTAGAGCTCCTCACAGGCAAGAAGGCAATGGGAATCAGCCCTGGAGGCAAACCCAAGACCCTCACCTCCTGGGCGCGCCCGTACCTGAACAAGGCTCGGCCGGACCTGGAGTCGCTGGTGGACCCGAACCTGATCGACCCGTTCCCGGAGAAGGTGGCTCGGACGCTGGCGATTTCCGCAAAGCACTGCATTCAGGACGACACGAATATGCGACCCATGATGAGTGATATTGTCGACACTCTCCGGCCGCTCAACACCGCTATCAACGGCCGTCGTTAACTATGCACGCCTTTGAGTCGAATGAGAGAGAGGGGCGACTCTTAGCGTGCAGCGACTGGGCATCTGAGAAGGAGGCGTTGCTTGTGAGCGGACTGGTCATCATTGTGGAGTGGATACGCCAAAGCCCTTCAGCATCGCCTTCAGCCGGCGCTAAGCACACACTTGAGATCGCGCTCCCAAAATGATTTCGAGTGAGAGGCCTATGAGTGATGTAGCTGGTGCGGTCAGGGATTTTGGGCATGGAGCGGAGGAGAGGAGGTGGTTTAGCAAGGATTTGCAGGATTTGAAGAAGCTGCAGCAACCAGGGGGCTTAGGCAAGGGGGCAAGGGGGAAAGTATGGGGGGGGAGGGGCAAGGAATAGGAAGGGGGTGCTCTAAGAGAGAGTAGCAGGTGGAAAGTGGAGCAGCATCAGCATTAGCAGACTTCAGCGTAGGTTTTTGTGCATTGTTGAGATTAGCATTAGTAGACCCTAGCCTTCAGTTTTGTGATGAGGGGTTTGGAGGGGTGAGTGGGGGTGGGGGTATGGATGGAGGGCAGGGGTGTTAGTGCTGTGATGTTGGTTGTGGGATTCCCCAGTTATGGCATAGGAAGAACTACCAGGGGTGGCACTACAGTAGTTCATCGCGGTGACATAAAGAGAGGTGGCACGATGCAGGAGGTAATGCTCTCCAGGAGTTAAGGAGCTGGAGGTGGACCGTGGAAGTCAAGAACATAATAAGGCCCTGAAGACGTTCTAGGAATTTCCTGAATTACAGGATGTCACTTATTGTGAGATTCATTTGCAGGTGAACTGTTGGGGTTGTGTGGCTAGTGTAGGGTGATGTGGTTAGTAGGGTATTAGAAGACATGTTAGGCTTGTTTGTTGTCTGTTGGAGGCGGAGGGGCTAGTGTGGTGCAGCAGGGTGGTGTCTGAGTGGCTTCAAAGCTTTTGCTCTCACAGAATTCTGGTGCTTGGTGTCTAACCAGTTCTAAGAATGAAGCTTGATAGGAATAAAATTTTATTTTACTTTAGTGTACGAGTTTTACTGGGTTTGGTGTACCTCTGAATCACGTCATTCTCTATTTCATGTGCTTACACATTTTCAGAATCAGCCCTCTATCTTGTCGAGCTCACCCCTTCCGCCTGCGAGGCAACCTTCAACCTCGAGGATTTACAGATAGAGCTCCCTTCCTTACCGAGCCAATTCTGAACTTCACGCACGTGTAGGGTGTGCTCTGCCGCTAGATCCACCGATCGGATCATCCGTTCCTGCTTTCTCCCGATCATGCCGGTACGCTGTCACTTACAAGCCATTACATGAACTTGTAGGTTATGGCGTGGCGGCATTGTTCGCAAATTCAATGCACTGACCATCTGAGGGTCCCTTGCAGGAGGAACCATGGATCAGATTTTTCGGACATCGTGCTAAGCCAGTAGATCACGGCCGTCTGAGAATCCGTTTCTTTGTTTCCGCGACGAAGTCTCTCGCAGTCGCTTGCTTGGATTCACCAATTCATTCAGTCGTCTTACCATTTTCTAGCTTTCGAGTCGCCTCACCTCACTCAAGAGTCGCTTCAGTTTCTCAGTCTCGCCTGTTCATTCGTCCATTTGCGTGATTACCTCCAGGGGTCCTCAGAGCGGATCCGAAGCGTTCCAAAATCTTCTAATAACGCGTTTCCTTATAACCTGATTCGTTATTGTCTTTCAGGCGCGTCGCCTGTTGGAAATAGAGCCTCCAGGCCCCATCCGTTACATCCTGGGCGCGGTGCTGATGCTGGTGGGGGTCGTGCTGCCGCTCACCTACTTCATGTTCCGATCCAAGCGAACCCCGCCTCCTTCGTTCAAGCAGACGTAGGTGTGGTAACCCTATATACTCGCTTTAAGCATTCCCGTTCGTGCTGCCGCTCAGCTTCTTTATCTACCGATCTAAGCGAAGCGCAGCCTCCCTCTTTTAAGCAGACGTGGGTGTGGTAGCCTTTTCGTTGTATGCTTTCTCTCTGTGTTAGTCTTGTCCGTTCTACTCGCCCTTCCAAATACTGCCTAATCCTCGTAATCCTGCCTGATACCGCCTCCTCCTGCGTATTATCGCCTTATTATATCCAGTTAGCATCTTGCTACTCTAATTATCCTCACTAACCAGTGACAGTTTTTTTTGCTAGATCTGCAGTCGAAATCCACGTGTTTTTCATCGCACTCCTAGTTTCGAACCGCATGGCAGTTGCTCCATCTCTGATACTCGCGATACTTTTCCAATATGTTCAACCCAACCTTGTCCCTCAGGTTCTAGCCTCCCATTCCTCTTCCCGCCGAAGCTACCCTAGAATTCAGCGACCACTGTAGAGCGGGGCTCATCCGCCAATCACTGTTGAACTGCTGAAACCATCATCCAATCATGGCTCAGTCGCTTAGAACCACACGCCTACCGCCGCTGCTGCGGCCGCTGCGGCTGCTGCTGGTAGTAGCGATGGCGGTGTTGTGCGCGGGGGTGGCGCGGGTGAGCGGGCTATACGAGGACCAGGTGGGGACGTACGACTGGGTGCAGCCGCGCATAGGCGGCGTTCGCTTCGCCGCGTTCCTCACCTCCTCGCAGCGCAAGCGCGTGCTAGTCGGCACGGACAGGAACGTCATTGCGGCCCTGAACCTCCGCACGGGGGATGTTGGTGAGTGAGACAGTGGGGTGGGTTAGCTGGGGAGTGGGGGGGGGGAGAGGGGGGGAGGGGAGGGGGGGTGGTGCAGCGCACAAGCGCGTGCTCGTGGGCACCGACAGGGACGTCATTGCGGCCCTGAACCTCCGCACGGGGGATATTGGTGAGTGAGACAGGGGGGATACTGATGGTTGAGCGAGGGAGTGGGGGGGGGAGGGTGGGGGGGGTGTGTGCAGCGCGCAAGCGCGTGTTAGGTCCGACAGGAACGTCATTGCGGCCCTGAACCTCCGCACTGGGGATATGGGTGAGTGAGACAGTGGGGTGGGTTAGCGGGAAAATGGGGGCGGGGGGGGGGGGGGGGAGGGAGGGGAGGGTGTAGCGCACAAGCTCGTGCTCGTGGGCACGGACAGGAATGTCATTGCGGCTCTGAACCTCCGCACGGGGGATGTCGGTGAGTTGAGCCAAGGGGCATGCTGATGAGAGAGCGATTTGGGATATTGGTACGAAAGCCGCATGGATATTGATATCACCTTGGACGGCGGATATTGGTGGGCAGTGCATGTCACAGCTAGGGACGTGGGGTTTGAAGTGCCGAGCCAGGGCTGGTTAGACTCTGATGCGCTTCACACCACTCTGCTGCACCTTATCGTCCCTGCACCTTTCTTGCTTCTCTCCGTGTAATATCTCACGAGCTTGCAAGGCAGGGCCACGGATTCTCCGCTCTCGTTTCTACCTTTCCTTTCTGAATTCCTTCCCCCGCCCCTCCCCTGCCCCCCCCCCCTCTCCCCCATTGTTTCCCCCTTGAATCGCCCTTCCATGGGTGGCAGCATGGCGCCGTGTGCTAGGGGACAAGGACACTCTCCATGCGCTGGATATGGGCGGCAGATGTGAGTTCCTGGAGGGATATGGGCGGCAGGCGTGCGTGCATAGAGGATATGGGCGGCAAGTCTGAGTGCATGGAGGTTATGAGCGGCAGATGTGAGGGAAAAGCAAGTCTGTGAAGCAGACGTTAGTGTGCACGGATATGCCCAAAGGGATTCGCGTCCTCTGTGTTGCCACTTGTTGCCACACCACTTATGTGTTGCCACTTGTTGCCACACCACTTATGTGCTGCCACTTGTTGCCACACCACTTATGTGTTGCCACTTATGTGTTGCTACACCACTAATGTGCTGCCACTAATGTGTTGCCACTTATGTGTTGCCACACCACTTATATGTTGCCCCCACCCCCATTCCATCTCCTCTGTTTTATGTTCCACCCATCCAGACCTCGTCACACTGTCTGGCACCGAGGCAGCAGCAGTGAGGGCGTGGGCTGTGCCCGATGGAACCCTAGCATGGGAAAACATGTTGCCACTGCCTGCAGCAGCAGCAGCAGCAGCAGCAGCAGGAGGGGATGTGACGGCGAGATTTGTCACCATTCCGGTGAGTGTGGGGTGAGGGCTTGAGCTGTGCCCGTTGGGACCCTTGCATGGGAGACCGTGTTGCCACTGCCTGCAGGTGCTGCTTCAGCAGTAGCAGCATCATCAGGAAGGGGAGTGACTGCAAAATTCATCACCGTTTCGGTGAGTGTGGCAAGGGGTTGTGGGTTGGGTTGGGCTGTCCTTGATGGGACCCTTGCATGGGTAACCGTGCTGCCACTGCTTTCGCTGCTGCTGCAGCGAAAATTCTCGTTTAATCCCTCGTGATGTGATCTTGTGCCAAAATCCTCGTTTGATCCCTCGTGATGTGATCTTGTGCCAAAATCCTCGTTTAATCCCTCGTGATGTGATCTTGTGCCAAAATCCTCGTTTAATCCCTCGTGATGTGATCTTGTGCCAAAATCCTCGTTTAATCCCTCGTGATGTGATCTTGTGCCAAAATCCTCGTTTAATCCCTCGTGATGTGATCTTGTGCCAAAATCCTCGTTTAATCCCTCGTGATGTGATCTTGTGCCAAAATCCTTGTTTAATCCCTCGCCTCACATTACGAATCCTCCCTCTCGCGATGGTCTCAATTTCCCACGCCTCTGGCCTCTTTTGTTCCGTCTTTTCCTCCCCCTCTCCCTCCCTCTCTCAGGCCACTGACGGTTCCTCGCCAGACCGAGTGGTGGTCCTGCTTGGATCAGCAGCAGCAGCAGAAGGAACAGGATCAGAGCCAGCAGCAGCAACAGCAGCATCGGAGGTGCATTGCCTGTCGGCTGCTACGGGCGAGGTGCTCTGGTCCGCTACCCTGCCCACCCACGCCCACACCATCTCCCTCATCCCACACGGCTCAATCCTCCTCACCGCCCTCTCCCCCTCCCTCTCCTTCTCCCTCACCACTCTCGATGGCGCCTCTGGGAAGATCACTGCCTCTGCTGCCTCTCCTCCTTCCTCCTCCTCCTCTTCCTCCTCTGCCGCGTTTCCTGGTCCTTCTACTGTGTATGTCACGGCGATTGGCACTGCGGTGGCTGTGGATTCGGCTTCTGGTAACATCCTCACTGCTGCACTGGTTACCTCTGTTACAGCGGATGCTACAGCCGATGCTACAGCCGCTACAGTGCAAGTGCACAGTACCCCCCTCGCCTCTCTCTTACCCAGGGAGCACTACCAGTCAGGAGTCTCTGCTTCTGTGGTGCCTGAGAAAGCTCCAGGAAGCTTTTTCTGGCTGTCTGTGCCGGAAGCTGTGTTTCTCCTGTCGGCAGGGGTGGCAGATGGGCAGGCTGGGTCAGCAGGACAGGTGTCGCTTGTTGATTCGTTCCCTGGACTGAGCGCTGTCAGTGCGAGCGTTGTGGGGGGAGCAGCAGGGGCAGCGGGGGCAGGAGCAGGAGGAGGAGGAGAGGGCGGAGAGAGTTTCTATTCAGGTCTTGTGGGATCGCAAGGCAGCAGTGACACCCTCAAGTTCCACATGCAGGTGAGATGCGAGGAGAGGCGAGGGTGCGTGTAAATGTGCGGGCATGCACATGTGTGTTGCTTGTGTGTGTGTGTGCATGAGTCAGGTCGAGCTGAATCGAGCAGTTTCCCTCCTCCTTTGCTCTCTCCCTCTTCTCTCTTCGTTGCAGGTGCAGCAGCTGCTTCCCGCCCCCTCTTCCTCCCCTCTTGCCCTCCTCTCAGACTCTGTCTCTGTGCCATCCCACCGCGCCCCTCCACGTGTGATGAGTCGGTTTTTGAGTCGACTCAAAAACCGCTTCCTCCCCAGCTGCCCTCCTCTCTGACTCTGTCTCTGGGCCATCCCACCGCGCCCCTCCTGCTCGCATCTTCCTCAACTCCCTCCCTCTTACGCTTCCGTTCTTCCCGCATCCTTTGTCCCTCGTCCCTGTAGGTGGATCAGCTGCTTCCCTCCCCCTCCTCTTCCCCACCTGCCCTTCTCTCAGACTCTGTCTCTGTGCCACCCCACCGTGTCTTTCAATATGTTCTTTCCCTTGCTCTCTCCCTCTTCCCTCGTCCCTGCAGGTGCATCAGCTGCTTCCCTCCGCCTCCTCCTCCTCCCCACCTGCCCTCCTCTCAGACTCTGTCTCTGTGCCACCCCACCGCGGCCCCCCTGCCCGAGTCTTCCTTAACGCCTATGCTCACCCTCTCTTGCTCTTCCCTCCTTCCCTCGTTCTCTTCCCTGCAGGTGCATCAGCTGCTTCCCTCCAATCCGCCTGCCCTCCTCTCAGACTCTGTCTCTGTGCCACCCCACCGCGGCCCTCCTGCGCGAGTCTTCCTTAACGCATATGCGAGGGCAGCAGGTGCAGGGGGCGGGGCAAGGGGCAAGGGGGAGAAAGCGGCGGGACAGGCGGGAGAGGGGAAGGCGGGTGCGTTTGGGTTCAGGCTGCTGGTGGTGGGAGAGGATGACTCGCTGTCTTTGCTGCAGCAGGTGGGTTCGTAGGGATTTTTTCAAGGGCAGTGCAGCTTCTTTGCACTGTTCAAAGGGCGAGGGTGCGAAAGAGGGGAAGGCGGGTGCGTTTGGGTTCAGGCTGCTGGTGGTGGGGGAGGATGACTCGTTGTCGCTTCTGCAGCAGGTGGGTTCATAGGGGTCTTTCTTCCTGCAGACTGCAGTGCAGCTCTTTCTTGCCTTGTGGCAAGGCCAATGGTGAGAAGGAGGGGAAGGCGGGTGCGTTTGTGTTCAAGCTGCTGGTGGTGGGGGAGGATGACTCGTTGTCTTTGCTGCAGCAGGTGGGTTACCACTGGTCGGTTTAACTTCTCGCGCGTGATTTTCCGTACGGCTGGTCATGTGTGTCGTCTCGCGCTCTACCATGTTTCCCCCATTGTTTTCAGGGCGAGGTGGTGTGGGAGAGAGAACAGGCTCTTGCTTCGGTAGTAGCAGTGGGAGTGGCAGAGCTGCTAGAGGAGGAGGAGGAGCTGTCAGTGGCAGCAGTGGAGCATGACATGATATCTATGAGTGGGCGCACACGCTCTGACCTCCCTTTCCTCTTCCCCCCCAACAACCTGTTCCGTTTCCGCCCTGTTTCTGCAGGGCGAGGTGGTGTGGGAGCGAGAGGAAGCCCTAGCATCAGTGGTAGCAGTGACGGTAGCAGAGCTGCCAGAGGAGGAGGAGGAGCTGTCAGTGGCAGCAGTGGAGCATGACATGATATCTATGAGTGGGCTCGCACGCTCTGACCTCCCTTTCCTCTTCCCCCCCAACAACCTGCTCCGTTTCCGCCTTGCTTCTGCAGGGCGAGGTGGTGTGGGAGCGAGAGGAAGCCCTAGCATCAGTGGTAGCAGTGACGGTAGCAGAGCTGCCAGAAGAGGAGGAGGAGCTGTCAGTGGCAGCAGTGGAGCATGACATCTACGAGTGGGCTCGCACGCACGTGCTCAGAGCCAAGGCGTCCCTTAATCTGGCTTCTGCGGAGGAGCAGGCTTTGGTGCATCGCCTGCGCACCGCCTCCCCTGAAAAGATCAAGCCTTTCCGGGATAGGAATGGGTTTCGGCGCATTCTTCTGCTGCTGACCGCGCCAGGTGGGGGCAACAGAGGGGCAGGTGGGGGCAGTGGAGCGTCAGGTGGAAACAGCGGAAGGGGGATGGGGAAGCTGTTTGCGCTGCATTCAGGGGATGGTCGGGTGCTGTGGGCTGCTGCGTTGCCCTCAGGTGGTTATTCAGGTGGAGGGGGTGCGTCTGTGTTTTCACCTGAAGCGCTGGTGCTGTGGAGGGACCCCCACCGCATGTCACCTGACCAAACACCTGAAGCTCTGGTGCTGCAGATTAGGCAGCAGAAGCAGCAGGAAGGGGAGGAGAGGGAGGTTGCACATACGGCGTTAGTGACTATAGTGAATGGGCACACAGGGGATGTGCTTGAATCGAAGGGCCTGCCGTTTGTGCCCCGTCTCGTTTCCCCCTTGCCCCTGGTGGGGAAGGATGAGCGACGGTTGGTAATGCTGGTAGAAAAAGTGGAGACGAACGAGGATGAAGAGCAGAATGATGGGAAAGAGGAGACGGCTGGGAAAGCACAGGGACAGGAAGGGCAAGAGAAGGGAGGTGCAGCAGCAGGAGGGGGGAAGGCGCGGCGGTATGAGCCTGTGCGGGTGCATGTGTTCCCAGGGACGGAGGAGGCGAGGGGGCTGTTTGAAGGGCACAAAAAGGAGGTGTTCTTTTACCTGGTGGACGCTGTAACGGGGGCAGTGGAAGGGTATTGCATTGGAGAGGAGGTGAAGGATGAGGCTGGGAGTGGTGGGAGCGGCGGGAGGAGCGATGGTGGGAGGTTGGGAGGTGGTGTGGTGTATGGAGCAGTGTTGGTGTGGCGGGTGGTTCTTCCAGCTGATTCGGAGATCGTTTCAGCCATTGCTGCGCCTAAGAGAGAGGAGGTGAGTGGGTGTGAATGGGTGTGATGGGTGTGTATGGCCATGCATGGGTGTGCATGGGTGTGCATGGGTGTGCATGGGTGTATGGAGCAGTGTTGGTGTGGCGGGTGGTTCTTCCAGCTGATTCGGAGATCATTTCAGCCATTGCTGCACCCAAGAGAGAGGAGGTGGGTGTTTGTGTGAGGGCAGAAGGGGAAGGGAAAGATGGGTTGTGTGTGAGTGGAGTGTGTATGTAGGGGGGCATGGGTGTCCATGCGTGTGCATTGTCTTTGCCATTTCTGTGCCCAAACATTTTCATTTCCCATACCCCCCCACCTCCCACCCCCTCCCCCTCTCAGTCCCAGCACACGCAAGTGCGAGCCCTGGGCGATCGCAGCGTGCAGTTCAAGCTACTTTCCAAGAACCTGCCCCCTTCCTTTGCCTTGCTGTTGCCCCCAGTCAACCCCAATCCCTGTTGCCCCCACTCTTCGCCTCCCACCCCCTCCCCCTCTCAGTCCCAGCACACACAAGTGCGAGCCCTGGGCGATCGCAGTGTGCAGTTCAAGCTGCATTGCTTTCTAAGAACCTGCTCTTTCTGTCTCTAGACTTGTTGTTGTCCCCAAGCAAGCCATCCCCCATCCGTCCTCACCCCTCACCCCCGCCGTCGCCCTCCTTCCCACCTTCTCCACCTCTCCCCCTCTCAGTCCCAGCACACACAAGTGCGAGCCCTGGGCGATCGCAGCGTGCAGTTCAAGCTACTTTCCAAGAACCTGCTCTTTCTCGCCACCACCACGCCTCCTGCCGCCGCTGCTGCTTCTGCTTCTGGTTCTGGGGAGGAGGAGGGGGGAGCGGTGGTGGTGTATCTGGTTGACACGGTGGGAGGGCAGGTGGTGGAGCGGGTGGTGCATCAGGGAATGCAAGGGCCGGTGCACGCGGTGAGTGTAAGGGGTTTGCACAGGGTTTGGGGTTGCCACGAGTGCAGGGGGTCGGGAGGGGAGGAGGGGGGAGCGGTGGTGGTGTATCTGGTTGATACGGTGGGAGGGCAGGTGGTGGAGAGGGTGGTGCATGCGGGCATGCAGGGACCCGTGCACGCGGTGAGTGTGGGAAGGGTGGTACGGGGTTTGTACAAGGTTGCTCCGTATGGGGATTGGGGTCCCTCTCTATTGCACATGGTCCGTTTGCCTCCCTCTCCTGTCCTCTACTCCTGATCATCACTGTTGATATACATGGTGATCACATGGTCCTAAACAAGGGCGTTCTGTTCTGTTTTCTGTTGTCTGTCTTTTGAGTCGACTCATAAGTCACCTATGGTCCTAACAAGGGCGTTCTGTTCTGTTCTGTTGTCTGTCCGCTACTCTCCAACCTTGCAACCACCCATCTCGTTCCCTCTGCAACCCTCATACCCCCGTTCCGTTCCTCTACCCCCATCCCCTGATTCGCTCATCCCGTTCCCTCCTCTGCCCGCTCCTGCTCCCACGTTCCTTCCTTCCCCGTCCCGCACAGGTTATGGCAGAAAACTGGGTGGTATACCATTACTTCAACCCTGCTGCATCTCGCTATGAAGTATCCACTATAGAGCTCCTCGATACCTCGCTGAAGGATGTTCCTGTTATAGACTACCTCAAATATGGACTCAGCATCCCTGGATCGTCCAACCTCACTGCCCCGCTTTCTGCCTCGGAAATTGCCTGGGGAAGGGTGAAGCGGCTGAGGCAGAGTTACTATTTCCCCTACGCGTTGAGGTGTATTTTGGTGACTTCCACCCTTGCGGGGATCACAAACAAGCATGTCCTCTTCGGCACGGCACTCGATCAGGTGAGGGAGGGGGGGGGGGGGGGGGGGAGGGGGGGAGGGGGGGGAGTGTTGGGGGTATGAAATGACTTGTGAGTCCACCCTTGCAGGGATCACAAACAAGCATGTGCTCTTCGGCACAGCTCTCGATCAGGTGAGGGTGGGGTGAGGCGGGAAAACTGTGTTGCGTTGATTGAGTCGCCTCCTTATTCGTCAAGCATTGCTGTCTCCTTATTATTCGTTTATGGATCAAGAAGCGTCATCCCCTTATTCTTGTCCTTGTGTGTTTAGTGCTTGCAGTCTGCCTCGTTGCTCACCTCTTTCACGCACCAAAGGAGGTGACTTTTGAGTCGACTCAAAAGTCACCTTGGTTCAAGAAGCGTCATCCCCTTATTGTTGTCTTTGTGTGTTTAGTGCTTGCTGTCTGCCTCGTTTCTCACCTCTCTCACGCACCTCCTCTCCCCATTCTGTTCTCTTCTGTTTCGCTCCGCTGGATCGTTTCAGGTCTTGGCTCTCGACCGTCGATTCCTGGATCCTCGCAGGGTGCCCGAGCCGTCACAGCAGGACAAGGAGGCGGGCATCATGCCTTATAGCGAGTCGTTGCCTGCTCCGGGGCAGGTGAGCAGTACCTTAAAACGAGTCACCACGTTATAACGAGTTGCTATTTATAGCGAACTTGAGTATGAGGCCGTCACAGCAGGACAAGCAGGGGCACATATGCGGTACAGTGACTTGCTGACTGCGCCTGGCCAGTTGCGTGGAAGATGTGCCGAGTGGTGAGTGGTTGCGTGCTGTGATTATATAGCCGTCGCAGCAGGAAAGGGAGGCGAACATTATTCCTTACAGTGTCTCTCCTCCCTCCCATACTTCCCCCCACGCCCAGGCTTATCTCACCCATCGCTACCGCATCGAGGGTCTGAAGCACATTCTCTCCTTCCCCACACGGCTCGAGTCCACCACGCTTGTCCTAGCTCACGGGCTGGACCTCTTCTTTGTTCGCACCGCCCCCTCGCGAGTCTTTGACTCCCTGGGAGAGGATTTCAGCTTCGCGCTGCTGCTGGGGACCATTGCTGTGCTGTCGATCGCGATTCTGGTTACGTGGGGGCTGTCCCGCAAACAGGAGCTGAAGCAGCGGTGGAAGTGAGGAGGTAGAGATGAAGAGGGGGGGCGGGCTGGGGGGAGGTGAGGAGAGGGTTTCAGCTTTCCGAGTGTTTGACTCCCTGGGAGAGGACTTGATCTTTGCTCCGCTGCTGGGCATGATCGCCGTGCTGTCGGTTGCGATTGTGGTGACCTGGGGGCTGTCTAGGAGGCAGGAGCTAAAGCAGCGTTGGAAGTGAAGAGTGGAGGATGAGGGGGGGAGTATAGGCGGGAGTTGCGATGAAGAGGGGTTTCAGCCTTGCAAGTCTTTGACTCCCTGGGGGAGGATTTCAGCTTCGCGCTGCTGCTGGGGACGATTGCAGTGCTGTCGATCGCGATTGTGGTGACCTGGGGGCTGTCTAGGAGGCAGGAGCTAAAGCAGCGGTGGAAATGAGGAGGGAAGGATGTGTGAGGGGAGCGTGGGGGGTGTCTTTGACCCGCTTGGGGGGGACTTCGGCTTTGCGCTGCTGCTGGGCACGATTGCTGTGCTGTCGATTGCGATTCTGGTGACCTGGGGGCTGTCTCGGGAGCAGGAGCTGAAACGAAGGTAAAAGTGAGGAGTGGTGGTGGGTGGATGGGATGAGAGGGTGCGGAGAGGGTTTCGGCATTGCGAAGGTTTGACTCCTTTAGGGAGGACTACAGCTTTGCGTTGTGCAGGGCACAATTTGTTTTTACAATACACCCCATATACTCAACCCCTGTGTGCAGTCTTCAATTCGTCCAAAAATAGGGGTGGGCGCACTAAGTAGGGATATGTTCTGTGCATACAGGTGTTGAAATGTGTGAAACTTTTCCAAAATCAGGTGGAACTGTAGATATCCACCAATATTGCGGTGCAAAAATCTGCGAGACTGCGGTTCGACGATTCAGCAGTCGAGGATTCAGCAGACTGCGGTTCGACGATTTCGAGAAAGCTTGACGTGGCGCCATGGTGTCAGGAAATTGTCGAGGTTGTCTCAGTTCGGCTGAAAGCATTCCTGCCTCGCACTGGACTCATTGGTTGGAAAATTCGAAGTTCCTCCAACGTACCAGCGATTAATAAATTTCTACGATACGAGTTCCCTTCCCATGACGCCATCCTTGTACGATATATACATACACCTTGAGGTTCTGGAAGTTCAGGCTGGTGGAATCTGGAACGCGAGAATTCTCGGAGCATATTCTTGCATAGCTGGAAATCCTACTACTCTATCTGTAGACAAAAGGCGACTGAGAGCAACAGAGCTGTCCACACTTACTCCTCTCCCTTTCACCTGTTTATCGACGCCTCTAAACATCCACGCGATGGCTTTTCTTCGCCGCCTACAAGCCATGATTTCACCCGCGCGCACCGACCCGCCCTTCCCCGTGGAGCGCCTCCCCGACGACGTTCTCGCGCTCGTCCTCCGCTCGCTCGCGCAGACCTCCTTCCGCCACGCGCTCGTTTCCAAGCGCTGGCTCCGCCTCGCCACGGCTACGCTCTCCCATTTGACCGTTCAGCAGCTCGGCTTTATGAGAACTCCTAGATTGAATATACACGATCCAGAGAGCTTCCACAGGCTTTCGTGGCTTTTGTGGCTTTCGCGCCTCCTTTCCGCGCTGCGCCGCTTCCCCGCCCTCACGCACTTGTCGCTGGGCGAAATCTCCTTCTTTTTCGCCGACGGCGACGCGCTCTTACACTGTCTGGCCGCCACGTGTCCGCGCCTGATCCGTCTAACGGTGAAGCACCAGTTTCGAATGTCGGTTACTGTAGACGGCCTTGAGTCGCTCTTCCATGGATGTCGCAAGCTAAGGGAACTCCGGCTGCTCACCACCAACGGCCTCCCGCATCTCCCGGCGTCCCTCTCGCTCCTCACGGATCTCCAAACGCTCCACGTGTGCGAGCATGCTCCGACTCCGCGTTTTGGCCAAGACTCGTTACGTGAGCTCGTTTCGCCGCCCGAGAGCATCTGTGCGCTGCAGCAGCTGCGCGAGTTGCGGATCAGCGCAGGAGCAAATTTCCGGGGTCTGGATGAGTGGGTGGGCCTTCTGGGTAACCTCCGCACGCTGAGTATCAGTAACCTCTGACACTGTCACGAAGCTTCCTGACGAAATTGGCGACTTAACGTTGCTGGAAACCCTAGAAATCGAATTGAATGGGCTCGAAATAATTCCGGAATCCATTCAACAGCTGACCGGGCTGAAAACCTTTTCGCTCCAATGCAGACGTTTGCGATGCCTGCCCGAAAAGTTTATGGCGGCGCTGACTCAGCTGCAGCATCTTTCCCTCCGCGACTGCCCTTCCCTCAAGAGCCTCCCAGAGAGCATTTGCGCCCTCCCTCTCTCCTCCCTCTCCCTCTCCTCCTCCCCCGTGACCCCGCTCCCACACCACGTCGGCCCCTTGTCTCACCTGCAAACCCTAAAGCTCCTCTACCTTGATAATATGCGGCCTCTGCCTGAAAGCCTGGGTAATTTGCCCAGTTGACAACGCTCCAGCTGGACCTGCTTGCACTGGAGAATATGCCCGAGGGATTTTGGGAAAGCGGCCTGAAGCGGAAAAGCTGAGCCTGTCACGGTGCGAGCAGCTGAAGGAGCTTCCTCCCTCGCCGTGCACGCTGACACGTTTACAATCACTCAATATCGAGTCATGCTCCCCTAATAGATTCTCTGAAACCACTGACCCCTCCAAACCCCCCTGAATGGTGTGGAAGTGAGTCAAAATCGTACAGTCTGGCTGAGGGTTGACCACGGCTGCATTCTGTTCTGCTGAAGTCTTCGCCTTGATGCTGATGTCTTCCTACTGCTCCACACCATACAAGAGCTCATAGTACCGCCATCCACCGCACAAGGCATCAGACTTCTGGTGATTTGCCCCTGCTGCCATGTTTGCTCTGCTCTTGCTGCCGCGGGGAGCAAAAACGCTTACACGATTATCGTGCAGGGTAGTGTCGTGTCGTGTGAGGAGGTGGAAGAAACCAAACCACTTGTGTCATGATTGTTGTACAATGTACAGGTTTTAGTGTACAGCCAGGTGGTGTCGGAGTTGGTAGATAGAAACATGCTTGTTCCAAGGGGTGAGCTTCTGCTGTATTGGTCTTTGCTTATTCTCTTTACAAATATTGGATGAAATAAAACCACAATTGTTCTGCTACAGTCTTGCTCGCTACCTGCTTCTATTTTTCCTTACAAGCATTTCCTCCATTGGTTCAAGACAGCAGCAGCTGGCAGTGCCACTGCCAGCAGGGGAAACGCACCAGTTCCTGTGCCAGCAGCAGCACTCATCAGTGCGCAGCAGCAGCAGCAACCTTCAATGGGCTGCCAGCACTCGATCCACCACCAGCGCCAACAGCCATGGTGCTTACGAGCGCACCCACGCCCTCCTTACCAGCAGCGGCCTTGCAAGTACCTGTCCCTGCAGCAGCCGCCCCTACACGAACAGCCCGGGACTCGCTGTGTGTCTTAGACAGCATAACAGTGCGCTGGGGGAGCCTTGGAATGGCAGCAGACTTGAAACTGCTGCAGCTGTTGGTGATGCTGCTGCTGGTAGTTGCAATGCTGTCACCTGAGATAGTATCTGCCACCTCAGCATTCTCTGAACCTTCCTTGATCTTCTTCAGACGTCTCCGCTCCACCCTCGCTCCGATCGCCTGGCCAATAACGGAGGCCGCTATAGTGAAGGCCATGGCGTATTTCGGCATGAGCGCAGCCTTTCGCAGCACGGCGACCAGCGGGACAGACGCATGTACGGCGATGATCCACTGTGGCGAAAACTTTTCGCAATGCTCTCGCCAAACACCCAGCGGGATGTTCAGCATCATGCCGATCGTGCCTATAGCGAGTGTTCTTATAGGGAGCGCCTGAGGCCGGAGGGCTTTCATAGCGGAGGTTTTCGCGACGGCTGCGCGCATGGCGATGATGGGAGCCGGGCAGCGGTATTGGAATCCGGACGCGGGCTTGATCGCCGCTGCGATGAGCGGCACCACTCGCGAAAATGCTCGGTAGGACTTCGCGATCGGGCAGTTACCCGACTTGAGCCATTCTTCGCCTTCGGCTTCGTGTACAGACTCTCTTTCCTGGAAGGGCGACAACGGGAAACGGAATGGGCGATCCACGGTTTCATTCAAGATCCATGATCCACGGGAGACTGCATCTTGACAGGTTTAGAGCAGTCATTCCGCATTACGGATCGACAATGCGTGACTTACGATCTGCAATGCGGACAGAGAAAGATCGCACTGTTGCCGACATCCAACTACTACTGCCGCTGGCACAACAACAAGGTTTCCAACTAGGACTATCACAAATTGTAAGTCAAGGCACCATAAGACATCTGGTAAGGGTACACACCTTCGAAGCTTCCTCCTCGCGACGCCTCTTCTCCTCTTGCTCCTTCCTTCTCTGCTGCTCCTTGCTGCTCTCCCCGCGCGATCGGAAAGAATCATAACTGAACGGTCCGGATGGGCCGAACACCGACAGGCTGATCGTGGCCGCTGACGCACCCAGACCGCCTGCGAACGCTGCAGCGTACGGACAAACCTCCTGATCCTGCTCTCCTGCTGTCTCATAACCCATCAGGGATAAGGCCTGAGTGGTGACCTTCGCGGTTGAAATGCTCTGCGATGTCTTCTCAGCGGTAATCCCGGTAGCATGGAGCGTGGGAACGACGGAAAGCGACTGGCTGAGCTGACCGTCGTAACTTTCGCCTGACTTAACGGAGTCGCGGTCGCAAGTCTTCGCGAGCGGGACAACACCCGTTTCGCCGTGAAAGAGCCTGAAAGCGACATCGAAGGAGGAAGAAGTTTCCTCGAAGATGGGCTTCTTTCCCGGAAGAGCAGCGGAAGCGGGACAGAGGTCCCCGAGCGAGTGGGAGAGGGGAGATGAGTGCGGCGCGGAGGACGAGGAGAGCGACACGTTTCGGAGGAAAGGACACATCTGAGCGGCATGCTCCATGGCGAGCTTCTTCATATCCATTTTCACGTCAAGCGCTAGCAAACGCACACAATGATCGGCTGAACTGCAGCAGGTACAGACAGAGAAATTGTGGCAGCTCTGTTGAAATATGGCAACGAAAGGCGAACCAGACCAGGAGACCAGGCGGCTGGAATGAAACCCTAGCTCGGGTGAAACCCAGGCTTGAAAAGAAAGCTGGTTTCAGAAGCTTATGTGGAGGAAGGGGTTTCTTGTAGAGAGGGAAGGGAGGGAACGGAGGGAAGGGAATTCTCTTGACGGTCGCTTGGCATATTCGAAGGGCCAACGGTCTCTCCCGCCCAAGGTCTCTTGGGGATGGGTGGGTGGGGTAACCCAACCCAACCTCCTTTGTAAATCCGGGGAAAGAGAAACTTCAATCTCGGTCAGGAAGACGAATTGGTCTGAACGGCTCCGTCTGAGCAGACGACGGGTAACCTGACGCTGACACAGCTCGTGTGGGGATGCGACGTCACGCGACGGTGCTGGCGTTTCGCGGCTAGCGTTTACCGCGCGAACACTACTGCCGTATTGGTCAACGTCCACGCACGATGCTGGGCACGGGCAGGGTTCCACGATTGACGGGTAAACGCTCTGAAATTCCGGAGAGTTTCCGGTTTCCCCGACGAAACCTACTCGGGGCTGTTCCCAACGCTTCGTCGCCCATTCATTGAACGAAAGGACACTCGTACGGTTCGAGGAGCAGAGCAATCCTGCTGCATTTTTCCTGCGTTTCCTGGCAATAGGGGAGGAGTAGCGAATGGAAGCACTATTCGGTGTTGTCGTCATTGCCAGCGAGGCAAAATGCGAATCGAGAATGTGGAAGGTGGACCTGCTAGGTGCGCGTGTCAGACAAGTGCGCGGCTGCGGTGGCGTGGTAGTGTCTCAAAAGAGGTGAGATGACTCGTCTAGCCAGTGTCGGTGCCACGCGAGTGCAGCTTGCGATTTGGTTTGGTATGGAATGATAGTGGTCGGTCATTTGCTGAGCTGGTCAGTAATGGAAAATGCAAGAAGTTCCGTGGACAGCTTCGAACTTGAGCTCCGTATAATGACGCAGATTATTTCTCATTAGTAGAATAAATATACCTCAAACATGCTCAAATGAGTGGTTAAATGCATATCAGCAACCAACGACACATCCCTGACGTTATTAAGATGCAAAATATATTTCTGGTAAATGTTTGTTGTTATGAACAAAATCAGTTGAAGTACAACATTGAGTTAGGTCACACCAACCAATGTTGGTAATGAATATAGTGCGCACTTTTGTCTATTTGATAATGCCCATATGATACACGCGGAACATCGTAACCCATACCGGCGCCCAAGCATTATTACTTTGTGTAAGGAAAATCTCTTTTTCCTTACTTCGCATCCCTGCTCAACGCGTACATCACTGTAGCACCACAGTCAGCACCGTTACCACTCGCAATCCTCGCATCGACAATCCGCCCGCCATTTTCGCACGTCGCACCCCGACCTCACGGCTCGGCGGGTAACCCGCGCTCCGGGCCTCCGCTTCGACACTTTCCCTAACCTCAGTTCCAGGCCCGTCGCGCGACAACCACAGTCCATTACCGTTACCACTGTAGTTTCGCTATATATTATTCGCTCATGCCTTCGCTCATTGTACTCTTGCTTCGATAGTGCAATTCTCGTTCGTTCACTCAATTGCACCCGTAACACTTGGTATTCAGAGCCTACGATCTCTTCTCGGACCGCACCCACACCTTCGCTTCCCCACTATCTCAATTTTTGGGGGGGGTAGACGTCTCTCAGCGATACAGCACCGCCGCTCGTAGTGCTTTCTCGTAAGCACGCACGGCCACGACTGAGGCTCCCGCTGAGCTCGCCCGACACCCCCGCCATGGCCGAAATCACGCTCGCCACATTGACGCAGGAGCAGCTCGACCCCCTGGTGCGCCAACTCGAAGATTCGGCGCTCGAAATTGCGACGCTCACAGCGGAACGTGACTCCGCGCGTCAGCAATCAACGATGAAAATCCCAGCACCACCACACGCACCGACAAACGCATCTGCACAATCGGACGAGCCGATCGTCATTTCGTCCGGCACACCCACACACAACAACAGCATGGGACAGCGCTCAGGCGCAGCCAGTGATGGCACGACCCAGCCGATGCCTGGCATGGGAGGAAACAGGGCCGCACCAAGCCCGCGGGAGCCTCGCGAAGCCCGTCGGCACGTGGAGTTCGCGGCGACAAGTGGCGAACAAGCTATTATGGCACCAATGCCACTCAAGCCGCAACGCCCGCCCTGCTTTGACCCGAGTCAGCGTGGAGGTCCGACAGTTCAATCGTGGGTCTTCACGATGAACGTCTCCTTCGACGCAAATTACGTCGAGTCGGACGCAGCGAAGATTCGGTATGCCGTTTCGCTGCTAAGGGGCCCCGCTATGGACTGGTGGCGAATCATCGTGACGTCGCCACGCGCCTACGAGCCACCGTCGCAAGAGGAAGGGCCCACGGGTCCAGCTGTCACCTGGAGTTCGTTCTGCGAAACAGCCCAATACAGCACGTGGGATGCGTGGTGCGCAGGGCTTCGGGCGCGCTTCGAGCCGATCGCGGCTTCTATTTCGGCGCGTCAGAGATTGCGCACTTGGCGGCAGCTCGGATCGGTTAAAGATTACACGAGCGGTTTTCTCGCACTTTGCGAGCAAGTCGGCTATATGCACGAAGCGGAGCGGGTGGACCGTTACGTCGGAGGGCTAAAACCAGACATCTCGCACGAAATCATGCTACGCGGGCTCTCGAATTTCAACGAGATTCTCGCGCTCGCCGAGAAAATCGACATCCTACGTCGACCGAGACCGGGGTTCTACCACGGACATCGTCCTCGGGGACCGATCGAGCACGCCACTGTGAACGCCGTTGCGACAAATGCAGCTGCCACGCCATTTAAGGGGCGCTGCTTTGCTTGCAACAGGCCGGGCCATCGCAAGAGCGAATGCCCAGAGGAGCTAAGGCGCCGCGGAGCAGAGCAGGGGAGGGAGTCTCAGAGGCAGGGAAACGCCAGCAGTCAGTAGAAGTTGGGCCAACTACTGACGAGACTGCCTGCTCGCCCAACCACACCGACCCTCACCGAGTCACAGTACCGATTCACGCCATCGATCGGGCTCGGATGAATAAGGAGGGTACAGCGACGGATTGCCCAGTACTGATCCACGGGAAAATACAGGGAGCAGCAGTGAAGATTTTTATTGACGGAGGAGCGAGCCACAGCTTAGTTAATACCGCAACCGCACGAAAACTGCAACTGACACTTAGCCGTTGCTTACCGGAGATAGACGCACGCTTAGTCGACGGCACGCCGCTGGCCATACGGGAAAAGGTGGAGAGAGTCAAAGTCCGCTGCGGGGGAAATTTTGGGTTTACACAGGAAATGCTCGCGACAACACTGGATGGGCACGACATTTTACTGGGGCGCGATTGGCTGCGACGGTATAACCCACGAATTGACTGGACGACGGGTAGCTGCACCGTGCGAAGTGGTGGTAACTGGGTCCAACTACCTCGCTGGCAGTCGCCCGAATCTTCAACGGTGCACGTCAACGCCATCACAATGAAACGGGCTGTCGCTGCTGGAGCTGACGTGTACGCAATAGATATCGCAGTAGTAGAGGAAGCAGAGCAGCCGAGCGATTTCAAGAAACTGCTGGAAGCTGTACCGCCCGAATTACAGGAACTGTTGAAACAGTACCCCGGGATTTTTCCCGACGACTTACCGGAAGGGTTGCCACCTCAGCGAGCACATGACCACCGAATCGAATTAGAACCAGGGGCACAGCCAACCGTACAGCGCCAGTTCAGACTGACACAGCCCGAGCTCGACGAACTAAGGAAGCAGTTAGATTACCTGTTAGAGAAAAAGTTCATCCGGCCAAGCTCGTCACCATTCGCCGCACCGATACTGTTCACGCCGAAAAAAGACGGGGGCTTTCGCATGTGTATCGACTACAGAGCACTGAACAGGGTAACAGTCAAGTCGCGATACCCCATTCCCCGCGCCGACGAACTGATCGACCAACTGCGAACAGCACGAGTGTTTTCGAAAATAGACTTACGGGGGGGTTACCATCAGATTCGGGTCGAACCATCGGACTGCGCCAAGACAGCATTTAGGACTAGGTACGGGTCGTTCGAATACACTGTGATGCCCTTCGGGCTAACCAACGCACCGGCGACTTTTCAGATGACCATGAACGAGGCATTTAGGCCGCTCTTAGATAAATGCGTCATAGTTTACCTCGATGACATCCTAGTTTACAGTCGGGACAAGCAGCAGCACTTAGCGGATCTGGAAGCGGTTTTTAAGGTTTTAGACGAACATCGCCTACTGACCAAGGGTTCCAAGTGCGAGTTCTTTCAGTATAGGTTAGAATTTCTGGGGCACGTTATTTCGGAGGCTGGAGTTGAAATCGACCCAAAGAAGCTGGATACGGTAAAAGCGTGGCGTCCCCCGACAAACATCACGGAGCTGCAGAGTTTTTTAGGGTTCGTTAATTATGTGCGTCGGTTCGTCCCCGACATGGCACAGTTGACTGCCCCGCTGACTGATTTACTGCGAAAAGGGGTCGTTTTTACGTGGGGGGGGAAAGAGCATGCTGCCTTCTCTGCCCTAAAAAATGTTCTCTGTTCACCGCCCGTCCTGCGCATCGCCGACCCACACCGCCCCTTCGAGGTTGTTACAGACGCGAGCAACATCGCCATTGGAGCCGTATGAGAAGAAACAAGGAATGAGAATGACTAAGGGAAAGTTGGGTACAAAATACAAACCCTAGAAAACTGTACCCCATATGTGCTACCCCACTATAGCCTACAGTAGCTCTGTCATATAAATCTGACACACCCCCATAGGCAAAGTGGGGGAGAACAAGGGGTCACAAGACCAGTCAAGCAAAGCAAAGCAAGCTCAGGGTGGATCACAAAGTCACCACGCATTCCGAG